CAAGTGTACTGAACTACTTTGAATTACTAGATGCATCATATCTAATTATAAATTTTACGCAAACGCCTTGATAAAGTGACAACTGATCGCATCGGCTATAGAAAATATTTTTCAAAGTACAACAAAAAAGTTAAAAAAATCTAAACATTTGTTTTTTAGTATTTGAAAAATAACTTCCTATGAATCTTCTCATTGTAAAATTGAATGGCTTTGAAAATAGTTGAGTTTCAAATTAATTATTTTACAATAACCTTCAATCGAAGTGATACATTTTAATGGATGAAAATTAAACAGGTTCTTCGTATACAAATAACCTGTTTAATTAAAATTTTTGAGATATCTAATTCATTCTCATAATACAAAATTAGTATTTATTTTTCTCCATGGAATAATTTTTTTTAGGGCAAGATTTGGTATACTTTACATCTGATTAATAAATAAGACTTTCACAATTTTTTTTTTTTTTTTCTTTATCAATTATCACGGTAAAATAATTTTTTTCGTGACTTTTCTATCAAAATTCCGTTTAAAGGATAAAATATAAAAAGTAAATTTTTTTGATTGAAGAAAATTACAAGGGAGACTAAAAATTTTTTGAATGAAATCAAAATTCTCTGAACAAAGTCAAATTTTCTTGAGCAAAAAAAATTTGTTCTAGCTAAAAAACAACTTTGGTGTTCCTCATAATTTTCTTGACGCAAAAAAAATTTTTTTTTTCTGTGTAAAAAACTCTATTTTCTACAAAAAAAAAAAAAAAAATCTTATAACTTTTTCGCAGCCTAAATGACGAATATTTACCATTTCTGCATCACTAAAGTGATAAAATCTCATCTGAAGATTTTAACAAATAGTTTCATTAATAAAAAATTCCCAAACAATTTTAAACGTAAAATAAAAACCCATAAAAACAGAAAAATAAATATAAATACATAAATATTAAACATACATAATAATACTTATACTAATTTATTGAGACGTTGATGTACAAACGCTTCTACTCAAACTCAACTTAGCTCGAGAGTATAAGTATAAAGAAAAATATGTAAAATATCTCGAGAACCAATATAAATACAAATAATAAAAGTATACATAATTTAAAAGATTTCAAGCAATTGCGTAATATTAAATATAAAGGTTTCCGGAATTTAAAAAATAAAAATTGTGGCCTGGCCTGATTGCAGCTCTTGAGCACCACTAACAATATTCCCCTCTCGACTCTCGTTTGGTCATAAATTTAACGATAAGAGTTGTGTCGGCGCCTTCTTACGCTTCTCGTCTTATCGAAAATGACAAACACACTGGCTAAATACTAAATACTAAATATATACAACAACAACGGCTACAGATTGTGTTATATATTGTATAATAGCAGAAATGTAGACAAAGTGTATATAACAGTAGTGTATCGTAAAGTACGGTACAAGCTTCCTCTTTTGTGTATTACACGCGTTCTCTCGCCCAGCACACACCGTCTATTATGTCAGTCAATGAGTATATTTGTATATTAGTATACAGCAGATAGAGCTACAGGCGGTCATCAGCTAAGCATCAATATCGTAAATATGTGAGCACGTATTTGCCAATGTGTGCCAGACTATAAAGATACGCCCATGAAGTGCTGTTGCATGGCATCAACAATTTCGTCTGCTGATAGATAACTCCAATTTTTCTATCGTTTATAACGAGTCAAATTATTTTGTTAAAATTTTGGTCCACGATAAAATTTGTCGCAGTAAAAAATTTTTGTGTTACACAAAGTTTATGTTAAATTTTAATGAAAAAAAAAAAAAAAATGTTGACTTGTTAACACAAATTTTGTGGTAAAATATTGTCACAAAAAAAAAAAGAATCTATCACTTTTTATCTTTCAATTTAAAAACAAAATAAATTTTAACTGACACTAATTAGATTCATTTTTATCGATTACCGTCTCATATCAATCATACAATTTGGACTGTTGGTAATAAAATTTATTTTTATTAACTTTCTGTCGAAATTATCAAATGATTTTGATTATTCATCGACAAAAAATAAAACTGTCATGACAAAAAAAATTTGGTAGGAAAAACACAGAATTAATAAATATCTTTTATTTTATTTTTTAATTATTAATATTGTTGAAAACACTAAAAAATTTTCTGATTTTTATTATAAATTTAGTGTTATTATTTAGAATTTAATACAAGTTTTATGATGACTTTTAAGTAACATAGAAAGTTTTATTAAAGACTAAATATTAATTTTTTCAAATTAAAACAAATAAAATTTAGTTTTTACTGAGATAAAAAAATTCCATTTGTAAAGAAGACAATTTACGCAAAAGAAAAAACCTTTGAGTAAATTTTCATACACAAAATTTGAGTCAAGCTCTAATATAAATAAAAATTAAAAACTACCGAGAGGTAAAATTCTCAGACGTGATTTTATTTAAAAGGGTTACTGTAATGGCTGATGACACTATTGCACGCTCGAACGATTACTCGACATTCCGGCTCCAGCAATTAGTTAACGACTTACGATAACACGAGGATACTCGCCAAGAGAGATTAACATACAGGATCGCGAGTTTAAGATAAAACAAAAATAGTGTAATAAAAAGTCTAGCAGTTGTTTACTTTGAGACTCGGAATCTTTAGCTCTTAAGACGAATGAAGATGAAGATGAATAAGAAGGAAATGAAGGATGTAATATGTCATATATAGATGCGTATTTACTTCCTGTTAAATTGTAACATCAACTTTCGTTGATATATATAGCCTAGGGAGGGACGATCTTTTTCCATCGTTACGGTCAATCGTTTCGATTAATCAACCGGACGCTCGTTATTCCCATATTCGATTGGCCCAGATTTTTTTTATTATTATTATTAATACAATTGTCATGCCTTTTTGTTTTATTACATTTTTTTGCAAGTCAGAGCTCGATAAGACAATCCTTGTGCCCCCAGGGAGATTTTTTGCCTAATTTAATTACCGAGCCGAGATTTAGTTAGTGAATTAAAAAAATAGTGGGCTGTTAAAATTGTTGGAGGTCTTTAAATTGGTAATTGAAGGCAGAACAACAAGCTTCTTTGTGGCATATTATATCGTTTACATGTACGTATACGCGTTCACTCTTTCTTTACGTGTCTTGTCTCTTGTCGGATTGAAATTATTACTATCATTATTATGATTATTATTATTATTATTATTATAAAGCAGAGAGGCTGAGAAAAACAACATGATATAAGGAAGAAATACACGTGTCCTCGAGACGTTGCGTATCTGGCGACAGAAAGTGAACATGACATCAACTTGGGAACTTAGTTTTTTTTTTTTTTTGTCAAGTTTTATTGACTTGAACTTTGGCTTGAGAAGACTTTTGATTCGAGAAAGTGAAGAAAAATATTTAAAAAAATAAAAATTCAATGGAAAATATCGCTGCTACATTTCAATAGATTTTCACAAATTTTCTTAACAGGAAAAAATTTTAAACTCTAAATTAATAAAAAATTTAATTTTGATGTAAGGTAAAAGACCCAATTATTGACACCGAACTAGTTATTGACTAAAAATCTACTCTAATAAATTAATAAATATAATTTTTGAATTATAAATTAGAAAATAATTGGTTTTTTGATAACATTATATTTTTTTAATTAAAATAAAATTACAAGTGTCAATCAACTAGACCAGTGTCAACAACTGGGTATTTTACCTTATAAGCAATATTAATAGAAAAAAAATTAGATTGTTCACTTAAAATACACAGAAAAAAAATAATTCTTCGTCGGAAAATTCATTTTTTTGACTTAAAAAAATATTATGGAAAACTGAAATTATTTTGACTGAAGTAAAGTTTTATTAAGTCAAAAAGAATTTCTTGTCTAAAATTGGATCATTTTAGGTTCTCTCATATGTTACGTATAGAAAAGTTTACTTAAAATGAAAATCAATTTCAATATTTAAAAAATTGGTAAATCTTTAAAAATTTCAATTACTCTTTAGACTTTTTTGATTTAAAGAAATTAATAAAAAGTTAGCAATCTGTTTAAATTTCTAACCTCGTCACAAGTCATAACAAACTTTTTTTAACCATCTTGTGACCGATTTTTTTTCCACAAGAATTAGCTTTGGGTTTCATCGCGAATTTGACAGGAAGCGCGAATGAAATGTGACCGTAGTATCTTTTTTAACTTACCGGTCTCCTGCCATCTGCCACTTGCTCAGAGCTCTGATTCTCGTGATTTCTTCTTTTCTCATCTACTTGTTTGCAGAAGGTTGTGCTGTAGAGCACCAAGCACATTGCACAGTAGTGGTATTGGTTCGGTGAGGTCTGGGCCATCTGACAGTGCGAGTGACAAGATATTTTGCTGGTATGGAGAAAAAGATGAGATGAGTGTAAGAGTCTAAAATAAAGTAAAAAGAGTAGGCGGAAGAAGGAGAGGAAGAAAGAGAGAAAATAAATGTCTCCTCGGGTGGGCTTTGAGCTATAACTCGAGGAGATGGTTATCGAGGGCGTTAAATTATGGATCATGATTGCATCAGATCTTGTAAGGAATTATTAATAAAAAAATTAATATACCTTTTATCTGGACTGGGGGCTCACTTATGGTATTTTATTACTATAGAGATATTTTTGAGCGAAAGCTGTCGATGGTAAATCTCACAGGAGCGCTAATTCGTCTTACTTGTTGGTATATATAACTGGCTGGCTGAAAACAGGCTTCTCAATGAATGCCTGGATAAAGACGTCAATTGTCCGGTGATGGTTGATCACGCAAGATTGCCGCTGGTATGCCTCTTTACTTCATCTTGTACGCAAATATCTTCAACAAGAAAATAAATTATTTAAATATTTTATTTGTAATTATAATAAATATAAATTACACTGTTGAATATTAAATATGTTTACATTTTTTGCATAAACGGAACACCAGCGGATTTAAAAATAAATAAAAATGTATATCCATGCCCATATGTAACATAACGTGTGTAAATGCTTCAACGTTCAGCTGAGAAATGGATATTAACGTACGTGTATTATATGAGAAGAAGAAAAACCGGATGGAAATAAAAAAGAGATACTTGTTAGTTGCACGCACGAGTGGAGCCAAGACCACCCTTCGATGTGCGAAATCCAATAGCCCGGTCAAAAATCTTGTCTAGGGGCTTATGTTTTCGTTTGTCAGGATATGCTCCTCTTAATTTAATACTACCGAGTTAAGTTGAGAGATCGAGTGACGCGTATTTACATATTATATATTGTTTATATGGGGAAAAATTATTGTTTCAGTACCAATTCAAGGAGAGAAAATATTCGGGAGTGAATTATTTTGCTCATCGGTAAGCAAATATCATATAGAGAATTTTATTTATGGGCACAACTTTTTATTAATATATTCTTGTCTAAGGTACTTGCGTGTAAGCCTATCTAAAGATATTTGCGATAAAATAGAAAATATTAAATTTTATCGACAATTTTTTATATCAATTCGGCTGCCCAATTTCAAAACACAGTAACTGACAATTTTAAGATTTTTTAAAATTTTTTTTATTAAAAAAAAGTTTGCGCGCCAAATTGATGAAAAATATGATTTATGAATAAAAAATACTTGAATATAAATATTAAAAAAAAAAAAATACTTGAAATTAAGGTCTAAAAGTTATAAGAAACGCAGGAATAATAAAAAAAATCAGGTATAAAAATTTTGCAGTTACTGTGTTTTAAAATTGGGCAAACGAATTATTCAAGTACATTTTCTTAAAAAGTTGAACAAAAAATGGAATTTTTTATCATTAAAAAAATGAAATGAAATTTTTAAAAAACTGTAATAATTACATTGACAAAAAAATAAATTTGATTAGAAAAAAAAAATCTAGAATCAAGATGATCATTTTCAAGAATTTTTTTCTTTGCAATGATAAAAAAATTAATTCTATAGTGAAGAGAAAAAATTTTAAACCAAGAATACCTTTTTTAAAAAAATAATTTTCTTGAGTCAAAAAAAAAATTTAAGTTAAGAAATTATTCTTGGTTAAAGTAAATTTTTCTTGATAAAAGATTTTTTTTTTTAATCAATTTTATTTATTTATCAGTGGGGAGCCAAGCAGAAAAATTTTTGAACTAAGCAAAGTTTACTCAAACTAAAAAAAATTGTTGGGTTGAAAAAAATTTCTCCTTGATTTAAAAAAAATTAAATTCTTCAAAATAATCTACTTGGCTAAAGATTTTTTTTTCTTGAATCAAATTAACAGTTCATCTGCGGATATCTCATAATTTCCGTATCGATCTTGGCACAAATTATAATTTGAACAATCGAGAGCTCGATCACCTCTTTCCTCCCTAATAAATATGTAATACTTAATACACGTTATTGTATTATTTAAAATAATAAATTAATGTATTAAATTATTGGCTTTGATTGATGGCTATGCGGTTAAATGTATATTTATATGTAGGTATATATAATACAAATATCTTGTGTCATTGAAGAAAAGACTTATGGTATAATTTAATCGCCGAGTCTATAATATAATATAATACAATATGAATGAAGAAATAAAAAAGTATATAATAAAAAAGTGTCACTTTGAGATTTAAGATGATCTCGACGGGAGATCAATGAGAAAAAGTTTTTTTGGTCATTCATTTGATTTTATTATTAGATAAATTTCTGATTCATATACATATTATACGCCTTAATATTTAAATCACTAGATTATCCAATACAACAGTATAACTACACGCACAGTAATTCCCTACATAACACCAATGTTGAGAATAATAATAAAAAAATATTGAATTAAAAAAAAAAAAAAAAACAAAAACTATTAAAAGGATGAATTCCCTGAATTCCAGGGCAACAATTCTAATACAAGTGACCGTCACTAAAATATAAGATTAATGAGTTGAGAGTATAGCGAAACTCATTGGTTTAGTTGATCGCATTATTAATTAATCTTATTATCACTCTTATAACTGCCACTCAACTAATGACCACTTAGCTTTGTTTGATTAGATACTCAAACAAGGGTCAAGGGAATTTAAATTGACCTTCTTTGAATATATCTCTTCATATACATATTACATATTTATATAATAATCAAAACGTCCGAAATAATCCGCGGCTCGCCTTAGGATTTTTATTTACGATTATGGCCAGTGAATTTATCAATGAATAAGCTCTATCAATTTTTTTTTTTTAATAAACGTTCTATAGATTTTTTACCTCGACGGATCGATGGACATTCTTCATTGCAGCAACTCTATTAATAAATTCCAACGCAAACAACGATACTCTTGTGCACGCGGTAGCTTTTACCACGAACAAATTCATCAATTTAATTTATCCGATTTTTTATTTTTACTATCAACTTCCCGTTCATTTCATCAAATTCTTGTTAAATTCAATAATTAACTGTTGTCTTATTATTTTTACTTCATTTATCTATCAATAGTAAGTTAAATAATGAAATAATTTCTCGTTTATCGTTGATGAAATGTTTGCTGAATAATTATTTAGAACACGCGGAAAAATATATGATTGTAGATACTGCATCGATTAGCGCACACATAATAACAACAATTTATAAGTAGAAATATAAACAAACATTTGAAGTATATATATTATATATAATATATTTCATACATGTATGAGTTATGATTATGATTAATTAGGCTTTTTCCAAGAAGGCGTAACAAGTAAAACACTATTAGTGTTCAGTGGCACAGTTTGCGTCACTTTATATTAATATTGATATTAACTTAACGTTAGTCGTGGCTATAATTTAATCATTTAAATATAAATATTAATGTATACAACTTAATTTGTTTAATAATAATCACAATAATTATTTCGTTATTTATTGCAGATGTATACTGCTGCTGATTATACTATCAACCGCGTCGTTAGTTCATACTTATGTACCGGAAAAATATCCAATTGAGGTAATTATTTTCTTTATTTATTTATATCAACTTATTATGGATTATTTAATGTCAAATCAACGTGCTACCACTTTTTATTCATGATTTATCAATGTGAAAGTAACAGGCATTCAATATTTTTTTTTGTTCCATAAATCACAGATTAAAGTCAATATTTGTTCATTATTCATCACGGTTTATTAGTGCTAAATTGTTTAGTCAAGTGTAAATAATTTAATCATAATATTTTACATATCAAAATATTATCAATTATTTTTTTTAACAGTGCATTAATTATACCAAATTCAATATCATGAATTTTGTTTTTTTTTTAACCAAGAATACCATTTTGAAGAAAATGATCTTCTTGAGTCAAGAAATTATTCTTGCTATAAGTAAATTTTTCTTGTCTTAAGAATTTATTCTTTTGATTCAAGAAAATCATTTTCTTCAAAATTCTATTTTTGGTTCAAGATTTTGGCTCTTGGGTCAAGTTAATTTTTTTACTAGTGAACTGATGAAATTTTTGATTAAGAACTTACAAATTTCAATAAAACTAAGAAAAATTTTCTGTAAAATATTTAACACTTTTATGTGCAAATATTTAACAAAAATATAACTAAATATTTAATAGAAAATTTTTTAGCATAAATTTTTTTTGACGCAATGATGCAAAATTTTTTACTATATGGTTGAACTATTTGATTTAATCGCCAGAAGCAATTCAAATTATTTTGATTGATACTCCAGAAGATTTAATAATTTATTCGGAACTCAAAAAAAGCACAAGAATATTTTAACAATAATTCAAAATTTTTTTGTCTTAATAAATATTTTGCAACTAATAATTTTTTCTCTCAAAATTCAAGTACGCATAACAAAAAAATCTTTAAATTAGCATGAACACTCCTTTTAACTTGCGCAACCACATGAAAAAAAAAGTTATAGTAATAGAAGTATAGAATAATAAAAAATCGTTGATTTGACACGAAATGACCCTTATATTGTGGTAATATAAACAATAGCGTGCAATTACCGGCTGTTAAATAAATAATTTTACAGGTTTACCACATGCTGCAAGAGAGAACGCAGTATGGATTCGGTAAAGACAATCGTGTGAGAGGAAGCTGGGGTACATGGAGCTCTTGGAGCGAGTGCTCGAGGTCTTGTGGTACTGGTGTCCAGTCTCAAGCACGGCAATGTGTTCTTCGGTATTTATTTATTTATATATATATATATATAATAATGATAAAATGTAGTACTCTGTTAGGCTGAAGCTTTCGATCCTTTACCATAATAGTAATAGTATATTTTAGTTTTTACGGGGAAAAATAAAAAGATAAATAGCCGAGATGAATAAGAGCTAATAAAAGTAATTGAGGAGCTGATCCGAAGGAGGAAGCAGTTGAAAATGATACACTTGGTGCATTGAGCTTCCTCAAGTAGTATTACTCTATTACACTTGCACATTACACCAGTGTAAATGCTAGAGATCTTTTCTTCCAGTTACTCTGTAAAAAACTTAATAACGAGAATAAAAAGTAGGCAATACGTCGTGTTGGATTTAATGACATAGGCGCCAAGATATTTATCATTATTTTTATATTTTTTTTATTTATTTTTTTATACACGATTGGCACCTATACTAAACTAACTATATGATATATACTAGAAAAGCGTTAGGTGCGGGCGATCCGTTTTCTAGTTATCAAGTTCTCATAGCTTCTCTTCTAATAGGCTAATACTATGGGTTAAGATATAACAGCATTATAATAGGAATATAACATGGAACATGGAAGTGTAAGAACATGTGTAATGTAATATAATATAATATAATATAAATGTATGCCTTTATGCAAAGCTAGATTGCACTTTGAAGAGTTGAGTGCATATATAGTTATATTCCAGCAGTTTTCTGGATAGTCAAGTTAACTATATTTCTCTTTATATATTACTGCACTTGTACTAAGAATTTGTGTTTTATATTTTTATTATTTAAACTTTATTTTTGTTCTTTAACGGAGCCGATGGCGTCGTCGTTAATTCACTGTTACGCCTTTTCCTCGGCCAGTAAAGAGTACTGAGCGATAAGCTGTTGCTTTAGAAACAAAACCGTGACTCTTTATAATACTCGGTGTATGGTAGTGTGCTTATTTTATGCGTCAAAGTCACGAGTTTATGGTGAATATTATTTTTATGTTTATCTTGGTTTTTTTTTGTTTGCAGAAATAGCGTAAGAAAAAGAAGTATTATAAGTCAAGTGAATAGTACTAGTCTAAAGCCGGTGTGCATCGGTACTTATAAGCGATATCACATTTGCAATACTCAGGTAAAGTTTTCTATTTAATAGGCTTTATTTGAGATCAATAGTTTTGTTATTGGGAGACCAAAGTTGATAGAGATATTTTATGATGTGTCGTAGACTGATAAGAAATTTAAGTTAATCTGATCCAGAAGAATACATTTTTAACCAAGAAATTAATTTTTGAAAATTTCATTTTGGCAGAAAAATTTTTGAATCAAATAAAATTTAATTAGTTAGAATTAACAAAAAAATTGATTTTTTTTTACATTTTCTTGAAAATGTTTCCTGAAAATTTTTAGAATATTTTTCGAAGATATCTGAAAATTACCAAAGTTTCAGAGGCTTTCTACAAAACGCGGGTTAAACTATTGTTTAGAAGCAATTGTTTAAAAAAAATTTTTTTGGAGATAATTTTTTTTTTTTTTTAAATTAATTTGGGTAATTTTACAACAAAAGTTATTCTAATAAAATACATAACTTTTTAGTTATGTTTTTTTAAATTATACAACAAAGTAATACCTTTTCAAAGCCGATATAATTAAAAAAAAAAGCTCTAGTATAATAACTCGATATTATTTTCATAAAATAAATTTAATTAGTATCAAAGAAAGAATTACAAAAAATACTTTTTTTAATGCCTTTAACTACACCTTATTTTTTAAATTAAAAAAAAATTTTTTTGAATTAAAAAAAAAAAATTTGCGCTTCTTCAAGACGACAAAATTATTTTTTGACTCAATGTTTTTTCTCTTGAATCACGTTATTTTTTTTTATCAGTATATAAATCAAAAATTGTTATTGAAACAATCACGTGCAAATCTATATAACATAAATAAAAAATATTTGCGACTAATTCCTTGATAAACTCTGGTCTCTATATGTTTTGACTTAATAATTTGTTTGAACTGAAAAATATATAAATAAAATAATTGAATAAAATTAAACGAACAATTTTATTTTTTAGGATTGTCCTGAATTTTCAGAAGATTTTCGTGCCGAACAGTGTGCGAAATTCAATGATCGAGTTTACAAAGGAGAAAAGCATGCTTGGGTGCCATTTTTAAATGGTAAATATTACCAATTATAATTATAATTAATATTCATCAAAATAAAAATGTAAAATTTTTGCACCATGACAGCTCCGAATCCTTGTGCATTAAATTGCCGAGCTGTAGGTCAACGGTTTTACGCGACCCTGGAGCCTGAGGTAATCGATGGTACACCGTGCGATGGTCCGAACTTACGAGGAAAGAGTATGGGACTTGCAGTAGACCGGACAACTGAACAATGGGTTTGCGTCGCTGGACAATGCAGGGTATAACTAGACCCTATTTTTATTTTTATTTTTTTATACACCTAGTATATTATACACTGCAAGTACTGTACATTTATTTGAGCTACTATCATGATAAACGATGCCAAATCGACTACTATATTGTATCCTACAGGAGCATGTCTCGTTAAGACCACCGAGTCTTATTGTTTCTTGACCTTACTAAAAATACAGTACACAAAAAAAAAAATTAAATAACTAAACAAGCGAAAAATTGTTTTATAATTATTAAAATTGAGAGAAGAAATTGAACTAAGATTATTATTTTTTATTTTACCAGTCAGTGGGATGCGATGGAGTTGTTGGTTCCGGTGCTGTCAGGGATACCTGCGGGGTCTGTGGAGGCCAAGGAAGAGGATGCAAATTGTTTGAAGGGATTTTTATGGAGCCTATTCTTCCCAAGGGTCATCAGCCAGTCACTACTATTCCACGGGGTGCCATGTCGCTTAATATTTCCGAACTGCGACATAGTAGTAATTTTTTAGGTAATTATTAATTTTGAGTAATCTATATTATTAAGAGAATAAGAAAAATTTTATGGCCAGTGTATTTATATGATAAAATGGATTTTTATAGTTAAATTTGGTATCATTCTCACCAATAGTCAAATTATGATGATAAATATTTAGACTGCATTCGAAAATGCTCTATCTCTAGATACATAATGAAGAAATGACCTTGTATCTCGTGAACTATTGACATTTTTAAAGATATAAGCTCATCCCGATGTTACACTCATCAAGACCTTTCATTTAAGTACCCACATCAATTTTTCATATATTTATATATATTATATATATGTATATATGAAAAATATATCAAAATGCATGTGGGTACTCAAATGAAAGCTCTTGATGAGTGTAACATCGGGATGAACTTATATCTTTAAAATCGTCAATATTTAAAAAAGTACAATGCAATTTAACAAAAGTCATTATTTAATAAAGCAAAATTTTATTTATTTATTAAAACTTTAATTTTATAATAACTTACAAAATGATTACAGCACTTAAAACCGAAAATGGAACGTATATTTTAAACGGTCCATGGTCATTGAGCCCCAGTGGAATTTACAAGACTGCAGGAAGTATTGTTACTTATCAGCGGGGAGATAGGAACCGGATGGAAAGTATAACAGCCACTGGACCACTTAATGAATCTCTTAATTTAGAAATATGGTATCACGAAATGAATCCAGGGGTACTCTATAAATATATGCTACCAGCGCCAGAGAATTTTAACGATAATGCGATTATTGCGCCGCCGTTATACGCCAACGAGATACCCGAATCTTATCCACGAGTTGAAGTGTAAATTGTCTAATTAATTATATTATTATTAACAAAGAAAAAAAATTCAAAATTAGATCCAAAATAAACATTTTTATTTTGAATTTAATTTTCAATAATTTTTTTTTTTTATAGATAAATATTCAATAAAGATTTGACTAATTTTAATAATTAACTAATGATAAAAAACTTTTAGTTTATAATAGAACTAAAAAAATATTAAAGAAAATATTAACAAAGGCTAAAGAAAAATCCATTTGGAATTATAATTTTTAATTTTGTTATAAATTATTAAAAATACTTTTGAAATTTTATAGTTTTTTTTTTAAATAATTTTTCTTTGCATGAGAAAATTTTTTTTTCAATTTGATAGTTATGATTTATAGCAAAATTATTATTGCAGATCCTTGAGACGACCGGAGGTCAATTTATCAAGAAATCAAGTGAGAGAAGAAACACAAAAAGTAAAGAAAGATGAAGTGAAATTCTCACCAACGACTGTGATGGCTGGTGATGCGCCGAATATTAATGTTAACGTTAGCCAATCGGAGATTAAGCCGAAGAAGAAGAAAAGAAAATTTGCTTGGAAAGTGATGGGTCTTTCGTCTTGCTCCAAGACCTGCGGCGGAGGTATGTAGCTCGGAGATATTGATGGATTTTTCTAAAATAAAATAAAATAAAGACAAGTTTAATACCGATAATGATCAAAGCCATACATTATTGTATAATGTAACTCAATAATAATTGTATTTAAAAAATTCCAGGGGTTCAGAGTACAATTATAAAATGCCTGAGAGAAGATAAAGACAACGTGGTACCGGATCGCAGATGTAGAAAGTTCGAAAAGCCTCCGGCACCGCCGCCGCTCCAGTGTAATGATCGACCGTGTCCCCCGCGATGGAGAGCAGACGCGTGGTCCAAGTGCTCAACGAGTTGCGGCACGGGAGTGAAAACTCGACGACTTGAGTGCATTCAGGACTTGAATTCAAAGATAACTATGCGTGTAGCCGCAGGCGCGTGCTCACAGCCACCGGATTTGAGCACCGTTGGTTCGTGCGAGGGACCCCCGTGTCCGAATAATCAGATCCCGCAAGTTCGACAAATGGAGACTTTAGACGTGTCAGCGGGTATCCCGGGCAGGTGGGAAGTCGGTCCCTGGGGTCCAGTGAGTATTTTAATTTTTGTTATTTATTATTACTATTTTATATGTTATGTAATTCAGATATCGAATATTACATGATACTAAAATTTGACTACTTTTTTTTAACAAGTAAATTTTAAACGTAATCAAGAAAGTTATTTAAAAAAATTTGACAATTTGTCTTAATTAAAGCAAAAAAAATTTTTGAACCAAAGAAAACTTCGTATACTGATAGAAGAATTTGTTCATAATTAATAACGTTTATTAATTTTTAATAAATAGTTTTTCAACTTTTGATGATTTGATAAAAATTTATTAACATTTAACAAATATTTATTAAAATCAATTTATTAACTATTAATAAACATTTTTTTCGACTCTTGAAAAAAAGTTCTACTTTTATGCTTTTTAAAACTCTATAACTTCGATAAATATTAAAAATTGATTAGATCAGGTAAATTAATAATTTTCTTATAAAAAAAAAAAAAAAAAAAAAACAATAAACGAAATAAACGAAATAAACTAAAAAATAAGGTAAAAGACCCAGTTATTAACTCTGGCCTAGTTATTGACACTTGCAATTTTATTTTGATTAAAAAAATACAAATCAACTCTAATAGATTAATTTTTTAAGATAATTCATTTTTTGAGAACATTTTATTTTTTTAATTACAATAAAATTGCAAGTGTCAAACAACTAGGCCAGTGTCAATAACTGGGTCTTTTATCTTAAAATAATGTTTGCAATGAATTAAAAAATTTTTATCAGAGTTAAAATGATTTGTTTATCGTATTTTCAATGTAAGAAATTACATTATTTTTTGGAGCTATTTTTACATTGCACTTTTAATAAATATTCATTAACTGTTAATAAATGTATTTTTCTTCCAAAAAATTTCTATTCCAATAGTTTAAAAGTATTCAATTTTATTTAATACATGAATAAATTGTTTGTAAATAAAGGAATTTATTAATAATTAATAAATTGTTCTATCAGTGTAGTTAAAAAGCTGTTTTGCTTGAAAACTGAAATTAATTTTTTCAAATTTTTTTTCCTTGTTCAAGATTGTTTTACTCGAATCAAATTTATTTTTTTATCAGTATAATAAAGAAAATTCTTGAGAATTTAAATGTAATTTTTATTTAAGTATTAATTTATTCTTTGAATAAAATAAAAAAACATTCAGATGTATTCTGATTTCTATATTATATTGTAGTAAATGAATAGAAAAGTTAAACATAAAAATTTTTTTCAAATTTTAAAAACACTATTGTTATTGTTATTTAAATAGAAAAATAATATTTGAGTTTTTATAATGTCTAATAAATATTTGAGCGATGACTATTAGAGGATAATGGAGTCGTCGGTGATGTTTTTCTAGTGCTCTTCAAAGTGCGGCAAAGGTTCCATGAACAGGACAGTTGTCTGTATAACTAGCGGAGAGCCTTGTCCAGTGTCAGCTCGGCCAATTGATGAGAGAGCCTGCGAGGCATCATGTGAAACTCACCCACAGCACGAGTCCATGTGGCTCTACACCGAGTGGACTTCGAAGGTGAAGAACTCTTAGTATAATTAGTTTCAACATTTAAAGCCCCGAGTCCCGAGTCCCGAGTCCCGAGGAAATTGCATATAATATAATAATAAAATATTCAAGAGCTTTTCCTCGAGGGTGTGATTGATGCCCACTAACGCTAGTCAGCTTGTCATCTTTGAGCAAACTTTCTAGTATACACACAACAAATAAGTATGAGAATTTAAAATAGGCGCGTGGCGGTTAAACGAACCCTTTTTAACTCGATGACGCCGTAAGAGCTTTATGATAAAATACTGGTGAGCAAACACCGCCATCAGATGTATAAAAAAATAGGGAATCTTATATTTTATCTGTAAATATAAATATTAAAGAACGGATATCTTAATTAAACAGTCACCTTGCTCGTTGTTTGATAACTCGCATCGTTCTCACGTCATGAAAACAAACCTTTGTAGTCATTCTTATAGTTTATATCACTTTTTTTTTCGTTATCTTTTTTTATAATTTTTTTACCTTGAGGACGTATATAAATAAAGTTTATTTTTATATGGAAATAAAATACGTTTGAAAAGAATTATTACTTATTAATCATTGTTTGAAAATTAAGTTCTAAAAATTTTTTTTTCTAATCTCAACTTTTTTTTTTAATATTAATAAAGCTCTAATATTATTTTTCCTTCAGTTTACATAATAATTGTAATTTGATCAAAAAAGATTGTTCTTTGATAAATGACACAATTTTATTTAACTAACTGTTAGAATCGGTATCAAATAATATTTTAAAATAAAAAAAGAATTTTAGTTTTTTTTTTTTTTACTAAAAAATTTTCATTTTTAAATTCTAGTAAAAAAAGAAATGTCTAATTACACGGAAAAAACAAGATGACACTGGATATCATCCCCGATTATACAGACTGAAAAAAAATTTCAGATAGTAGCGAGTATAATCCAGATTGCAATGAGTATAACCCAGATACCACGGTGTATAATCTGGATTTTTTTAGCAACTATTTGAGATTTTTTTTCACCACAGATATCACTAAATATAATCTGAGATAATGTCCAGTATCATCTTGTTCTTTCCATGTAGATAATAATAGCAGCAATATGTAAATTATAAAATATAAAATTATGATTTTTCATATTATGAGAGTACTTAAAAAATTAAATATTTAATCATTTAAAATTGTATAAAAATGACCTTTAACCCGCTGTAAATTTTTCTCAGCGATCAATAAGCAATAACTCTTCAAACATCAAATATTTGGCTCAATCTAATAACAAGGTTCACTGATGAAAGTCCTTATGCTCGATATATCTCGATAAATATGTACTGAAAGTTAAACGTCTTGTAACGAAAATTACACGTACTTTCCTTGAACTATAAATTATTTGTCTTAGTGTCCGGCAGAATGTGAGCGTGAGATGGAGACGAGGCGTATTGCTTGCGGCGGTGCAAACGAATTATTTTGCGATTCCACGAAGAGACCGGCGACAGAGAGGCGGTGCTCGTTCAATGAAACTAGGAGTTGTGGTGCCCGTTGGTTCACTGGACCGTGGTCTTCGGTAAGCATCATCATTAGTTAATGTCGTCAGGTACACTCACTATTTACCTGTACGTACACATTCATCAATCCAGATTCACATTAACACAGAGAGTCCTATTCCTATTCTCGTTCTCGCTCCTATAATAATAATATCCATTAATAAATAATAACGAATACATAAATAAATAAATATATAAATTAAATGTGAAGTAATAACAGTTGTAGATTGTGTAAATGAAATAAATAAAATAATTTACAGTGTTCCGTGGCCTGTGGAGAAGGTATTGCCCGTCGAGAGGTGATTTGCATTGGCAACTCGTCCGGTGAATCAAAGATACTCACCGAAAGTAATTGCAGCTCAACGAGGCCGCCAGCCGAGCAAATTTGCCGCATGCCTCAGTGCCCACCCGAGTGGTTTACGTCCGATTGGAGCATGGTAATTTTCGGGATACTCTCTGTAGTAATAAGCGCATCTCATTTCTCATCACCGCTACCTGTCTTCATCAGTATCAGCTTCATTACTATTATTATCTTCAATACTTTATTATTTTTTTTTTTAAATTATTCTTACATCTTCTTTTTATTTTATTCCAGTGTACGGTTTCCTGTGGTGGTGGCACGCAAGAGCGCGTCGTCAGGTGCTTGGACCAAGGCTTGAGTTCATCTTGCGACACTATAACAAAGCCCGAGGACCGAAGACCTTGCAACGTTGAACCTTGCAAGGACGTTTCCCTTGTGCATAAAACTCCAAAAAGTTGGTTTGATTTTTAAAAAATTTTATTATTTCTTCCCGTCTTATCGCGTAATGATGAGAATAAAATTTTTTTTATTATTAAATCACCTGAACCAGAGCACTTTATATATGTATTTATTTTTATCTAAGTGCTTGGTTTAGTATAGTTGTGAGCCTATAAATAATTATTACTGTTATTAATAATTTGAAATGGTTTTTACGTTGTTACAGAAGTACATCTTGCTAACGAGTGTGTTGATAAGTATCCTAACTGCATGTTGGTAGTTAAAGCTGGTCTCTGCCGCTATAAGTACTACAAGCACTCTTGTTGTGGCTGTCGCAATTAGTTTCCACAATACTGGTTTCAGCAGAGTGTTAATCTTCATTGAGGATGGACGTTTTTATTTATTTAAAAACTCTCAAGCCGGTATCGCGAATCGATTAACATCGATCGCTAAGTATACAGAAGTATTCTCTCGTTTTTGTTTTATTTTATTATCTTTTTCACTTTGAAAGTGATGCTTATGTTATTATTATTAGTACAACAACGATAACAATAACAATAACAATTAATGTATCGCTATTATGTGAGAGGTATAAATAATTTTATTGTATAGAGAAAATTTTCGTACAAATAGAAAATATTAATAAATAAACGCATTTTGCATGATTACTATTTATTTTTATTTATTTTCCTGGTTAATAATAATCATACCAATTATTAAAAATTTAATTTAAGTAACTATATATTTATGTACAAAGTTATAGAAGTGTTTAATTTTGATGTTTTTAGTTAAAAATTTTAAGCTTATATCAACTTTAAATAATTGTAATTTTAATTTGGTATAACTGTAAAAGCATTTAAATGAATAATAAAACTTGAGCACAAATTAATTATATAAAGCAATGCCTTTACCCGTCCACGGTTCCTTACGTTCAACTTTTAAGCCTAAATCTCGAAGAGCAGCTTTAGCTTCAGCTTCAACGGCAACTCCATGGTTCTTAAAGGTTTCAGCAAACAGTGGCTTTACGCCGTAAGCCACAAACTCCCGAGCTATGTTCCGAATAGCCCGACAAGCATGTCTCAGAGTTTTGTGGCTCTTCGGAAATTGCTTCATCTCGTCAAGCATCATGATAGGTGCTCCGCAGTCGTAAAAAAACTCCGGCATTGGAGGAACACTTTGACGGAGAGTCAAAGCTGAGAAACATGAGAAACCTGCAGTGACGACACTCTCTGAACCCTTGAACCTGTTGATCACTGAGACGATAAGCGGACAACTGCCGCGGGTCACGATATAATTCTCAACATTGTCGTTATAGCAGCCAGAGCACTCAGCAATTTCAGGGGTTGTCTGTTGAGTTTCTCCGTGTCTGGGTGGCTGATCATAACGTCCAAGATTAATGTTAGACCACCAGCATCCTAAACGTCTTGACAATATTCATTTCTCACGAGAAGATTCGCCAATGTCACTATCAAGTCATCTACCACTATCTCGTCGTGTTTAAATTTGACTGAAGCGTAGAAAACTTTTATTACACGATGACCAGATTTAACGTGTGCACGCAAGCTCGCATCTATGTTGTATTTTAACAACTATACTACTGTTATGATCGTTGAAAAATTTTATCATTATTCACTTGCCAAAAACCATACTTTAATTTTTCCCATTTTATACATTATTTTCTACTTTCTACACAAGAGCTTGCGAGCTTCCTACAGTTGGAGCATGGTCCCTATAGCAAATTATCTACAGTACAACCTGGTTATTATAAGTTACGTCGGATGATCTACTCACTCTTACAGCTGTTATATCTATGTTTGGAATATTCCATGTTAGTAGAAGAGAGAAAGAAATATAATTCATCAAATATTAAATAAATAAAAAAATGTAACTACTCAAAACGGCCCGGGCCGCAAAATACATTGGAGACATTTACCAATCCCTCTCTACTTCGCTGGAGAAAGTATACTTCGAATCACGCGTGGTAGGGATAAGAAAAAGATGGCGCGTAACGGAAAAATGTTACACTAAATTTTTTTCCAACCCCGATAAAGAAGTTTCACTTCAAAAAAATGAATCATTAAATTATTATTATTATTATTGTTTTTATTATTATCATTATAAATCGTTGAAAAAATTATTATGACACTCATGAGGTTAATTCAATAACAATTATAATATTACATGATCAATTATTAAAGTTTAAATATAGTGCTGTAAAAATAATAATAATATACTGCTTTAAAAGCTGGCATTTCGGACATCATGTGGATCCCAGTGCAGAAGCAAGGTGGACCAGTCGAAGCTTTGCATCAGGTCCGGACAAGAAGGGCACAAGATTGCTGATTGCAAAAATCCAGCCAAATGTGCATTATGTGCTGAGATTGAAAGTGCAGAGAATGTTGCCTACCATGCCGGTACTCATAAGTGCCCGTTATTTCAGGAGGCACTCCAGAAGTTGACGAACAAACAAACATGAGGATACTGCAGCTCAATCTCAACCATTGTGAGGCAGCGCATGACCTGCTCATTCAATCCGTGCGAGAACTAGAGCTTGACTTGGTACTGATAGCAGAGCCATATAAACACCTGAGTACCCAACCCTGGGAATTCTGGGAATTCGACAGCACATCCAAAGCTGTCACCTGGTCATGTGGCAAGCTCCCTTTCCAAAATGCAGTCGACAACAGCAATGCCGGCTTTGTAGCAGTATCAGTCGAGGGCATCCACTTCTATAGCTGTTACGGACCACCTAGCCTCTCTACTGTCGAATTCACCGCATTTCTGAATCGACTTACCGAGGACGCGAAGCATTACCACCCAGTGGCAATAGCCGGGGACTTCAACACCTAACTATTCCTACACGGAGAAAATTTTATAGTAGAGTTTACTATCTAGTTATGGTAAAATCTATTAACTGAATTCGATAGTAGTAAATATTATTTAAATAATAATGTAAACTATCTGAATTGTAGTAGTTACCATCCTGATGGTAACTATTGCTACCATTATAATGGTAATCAGTAATAGTAGCTGTTATTATTTCAACTAGTTACTACTATTATCAAAATCGTAATTCCTAATATAACCTGATGGTTACAGTTACCATCAGTAATAATAATTGCCACTATCTAAGCTAGTAAAAAATATTAAAAAAAATAAGAATTTGCGTTAGCGTGGATACATTTCTGAATGAACTAAAAGCCGTTGTAGCGCAGTGTAGTACACAAAAAATCGGGATTAAATTCGGATTGAATGTATATTTAAATGTTTATTTGTCTAAAATAAGTTTCAACGCCAAATTTTTCAAAAAAAATTTGAAATTCCCAAAGAAATCAAAATTTTATATATATATATAATATATTAGGGTGATTCAAAAAAATCGAATATTTTTTTTTTAACTTTCGAAATTGAAAAATTAGTTCTCAGGCACCTCTAGAAAATGCTCACCAAATTTGAGCTCTTAATATTGATGGGAAGGTTATCCTCATCACAGTTTTACATTTTTCGTTAGTCTCTTATAAAAAATATCATATCTCATTATCAATCAATTTTTCAATCAAATCTATATACATACTTTTGTAGGAAATTGAACGATCTACAAAAAAGATCTGATATGTGTAAGCGATTACATCAACCATTTCAAAGATATCCGAGATCAAAGTTCAAAACGATATTTCAAATCATCAAATCGGACGTAATAGCTCATTTTTTGAAGATAAAATAATTAACAATGCACCTATAGAAACGACTGGAACTTTTGCTGGATACACAGCATTGCATATAGCTTGTATGGATGGAGATGAAGAATTTATTAGATTATTAGTTGAAGACTACCATGCAAATGTAAATGCTGTTGCTGACGATGAGCTCAACCTATTCACTTTCTGTGTTTATTCGAACCTGAGATGCCTCAGAAGCTTATAGATATTTTGTTAAGAGCTGGTGCCAACGCCGATGCTGAAATAGAACAAAAACTTTTTACAACATACATTAAAAGTGATAGGTGGCGCAACGATTTTGGGAATAAGATGACTTTGTTAACATTTTCGATTCTATATCGTAATAATTACTGGTTTGCGACATGATTAATCGAAGGCAAAGCAAATTTAAAAGTTAAAAGTCTGAAAAATAAAACACTGTTGATGTATGCGATAGAGAATAACAAGTGCACAGTCGCATCTTTACTTATAAAAAAAGTACATGATCATGAATGGATAAACGCCCTTGACATCAGTGATGGTTATCCTGCTACCCACTATATATTACATCCAAAAAACTTAGATGATCGATACGATAATGATAGTAACGAATACGTTTACGTGTTGGATGATTTTGATAGTGCTAGGTTGATTAACAAATTACTTGATGCCGGTGCTGATGTTAACGCAACCATAAATGAAGATCCAGATACTTTATTATATTCAATATGACGGCTTGCAAGCATTATCCACTTACACTGGATAAATTGTTGGCTCATCAAGGCAATACTTCAAAATCAACGGCTTTGCATTACATATTATGTCGACTTAAAAATCTACAGACACAATTCAGTGTTGACAGAAAAATAACATGTATCAACTTAATTCTAAAAGACCTTATTTATAGACGTACGTTTGGTTTTTATTCTTTCCTGAAGATGAAAAAATATTGATGGACAAGTTAATTGCTGAAAACATAAATTTCAGGGAGCTAGCACACGCCTACGAATAAAATATTATTCAAGGGGAGTTAAAAACAAAAGTGCTTAATTATGATGATAAAAGTAAAACGTATTATGACTTCATAATGTCATGCGTTGATGATAAACAATTACGTTTGATAGTGAAAAATAAATCCTTAATAGACGCGTTCGAAAATACCTTCCCGAACCCTAAAATTCCTTCTTTTATTCTGAAACCTGATGGTTACCCTAATGTTCCTCCTTCTTCTGTAATAGCTTTTATTACTGCTGATTATTTTTTCTTCCAAAAACAAATTTCGAATAGAATAGAAAAAACTTCAAGAAGACTTGAGCAGTTAGAAGCATTAAAAAAAGTAGAAAATCTCCGTAAAGCTATCCCTTTGCCATATGAATTGGTAATAATAATAGTTGAATATTTTAATTATCAAGACTTCAAAAATTTTATTCAGGTATTTTATTTATAATATGTTCACTTTTGTAAACAATACTAAATGATTGTATGAATAGTAAATATAACAAATAGCAAAGAAATGATTGCCTTTGTATTTATTTATGCTCATTATTCTTTATTGTGTATTAATGTAAACCAAATTATTGTAAATATTGGGTTACTAACAATAACGTATTTAATCATAGATATATATAATTTGAACTATATTTAAACTATAGAATTTATAATAAGTAATCGGCCACGTTTACTCAGAATTTAAATTAAATAATTAAATTTAATCATGAATCGAAGTAATTTTGAAAAGTTCGCTAAAAGATGTATTGGAATGTCAATCAATCCGCTATACAATAAAACTCCAGACGACCTGTTTAATTATTTTAATGATGTTAACAAAAAACTGATACTATCAGGAAAATTAAATAAATTCATTGAGTTCGTCGTAGTTTTGAAATTTTACAATGACGGAGATTGGAGTAAAGAAGAAATCACCAATGAAGTAAAAAAAGTTTTTAACGAGGAAATTGAAATAAAAGATGAATTTTTGAATACTGTGTTGGTTTAATTTACACGTGTCTTCTTAACGCGTTATAATTATTCTTCTTATTTTAAATTTCTTTATACCGTTCCAACAATTACTGATGAACAGTCATAAATGTACGAGTTCAATTACTACACAATTGTAATCTAATATAAAAAATAGTGAATTTAATGAAAATAACCGACTACCCTCATTAAGAATAAAAATTGGATTATAGTATAAACAATTAAATTTAATATTTGATAAAATGTTGCCTAAGGGGTTTGCTAGTAAATGTCTCGGACAGTTCAGTCATCCGTTGGACAATTTAATGAATAAAAATTTGGAATTTATAATTAAATTTTGTTATTTTTCCAAATAAAGAATATAAGATTAATTTTTTTATAAATGAAAATTAAAAATAAAATTTAATAATTAATAATTCAATATTATAATAAATAAACCTCATGAATTTCATAATTGTTTCATCGATTTATAATGATACTAATAATAATAACAATAATAGTAATAATTTAATGATTTATTTTTTTTTTTACGTTTGTGAATATGCTCAATATTAATATTAATATAAAATAAAATTTTAGTCGATGGCAACTACAGTGGGATGCCACAGTGAAGGGTAGGTGGACGCATCGTCTCATACCAAGGATCAACGTTTGGCTAAACCGGAGTCACGGTGAAGTCAACTATTATCTTACACAGATGTTATCAGGACACGGCTGTTTCCGGGCATATCTCCACCGCTTCAAGCATGATAATTCCCCAGAGTGCCCGTCCTGCCCAGAAGTCAATGAAGATGTAAAGCACGTTTTCTTTGAGTGCCCACGATTTTACCCACAGCGAGATGAGCTGGAGAATATCCTGAAGAGGAAAATCCAACCAGGGACAATAGTAGACGTCGAGATCCGATGAAAACTCGATTTTCGAAAAACGGCGTAAAATCAATAACTTCCCGATTTTTGAAAATTTTCAATTTTCTTAGCGGGAAATTAAAAATGACCAAATAAACACATTTTGCAAGATAATAATTTTTTCATTTATTTCTCTAATTCGCGATGTTTAATAATAATTTGTTTAAGATAATTATACATTGAGGTATAAATTTATAAAAATCTTTAGTTAAAAAGTTTTTGATTTAGATAAAAAAGAATTAAAGAATAACCTTTACATAATTTCTAGAACTATCAATAACTTCTGAAAATACATGATTATTCTTTATAATACTTACATTAATAATAATAATAATTACATTTTCAGCTTTGAAAAAAATTTATAGCGAAAAATTAATCAACTTTCAACTATGATAGATTGTATATTCATTAATATATCTGTAAAAGCATTTAAATGAATAATAAAACTTGAGCACAAATTAATTCTGCAAAGCAATGCCTTTACCCGTCCACGGTTCCTTAAGGTCAACTTTTAAGCCTAAATCTCGAAGAGCAGCTTTAGCTTCAGCTTCAACGGCGACTCCGTGGTTCTTAATAGCGTCAGCAAGCAGTGACTCTACACCGTAAGCCACAAATTCCCGAGACTCGGCTCTGTTTTTCACCGCCATGTTCCGGATAGCCCGACAAGCATGTCTCAGAGTTTTGTGGCTCTTCGGAAACTGCTTGATCGCATCAAGCATCACGATAGGTGCTCCGCAGTCGTAAAAAACTCCAGCGTTGGAGGAACTACGGAGAGTCAAAGCTGAGATACATGAGAAACCTGCAGCGACGACACTCTCTGAGCTCTTGAACCTGCTGATTGCTGAGACGATAAGCGGACAACTGCCGCAGGTCACGATATGGCTCTTAACATTATCGTTACCAGCCAGAGCACTCAGCAATTTCAGAGCTTGTCCGTTGAGTTTCTCCGAGTCTGCGTGGTTTATCATAACTTCCAAGATTAATGTTAGGCCACCAGCATCCTCAACATCTTGACAATATTCATTTCTCACGACAAGACTCGCTAATGTCGCCATCAAATCACCTACCACATCCTCGTCGTCTTTAAATTCTGTTAAAATGAACAGTAAAAATATTTAATAGTACATAATATTTTTAATTACTCTTAAAAAAATAAATATTATCATTGATGAAAACAAACCTGACAAAAGATTCGTCAAGATATCAATTGCAACTTTGGCAAGCTGGCTGGCATGTTCATGAGCTTTTCCAAACTCTAGTCTCACATCATCATCAAGCACCAACGCACGGACGACACCACAAGCATCTCTTAGCTCAGAACTCGTTTTTTCTTTTTTATTAAGAATTCTCATTATTCTGTCAATTATTCCGGCTTTGACGAGGTTCTGCCTGTTCATTTCATGCTTGATGCAGCACTCTTTTATCCAACGCAAAATATTTTTTGTACATTCTACATCCTCCTGACTATCCAAGAGCCTTGATACAAATTAAAAGGTTGCATTAAATTAGATTTTACAATCCAAATAAAATACATTAATGAATAAAAGCAACTTACTCAATTTGAAGGTCTATACCAGCAGAGTCGAGCAAATCAGGGTTACCAGTCATCAATGAAGTCATGGCTTTCAAAGCTGGTTTCAGGATACTTACGTCATCCTTGGTGTCTTTTATCAAGGCTAAGATTATCGGATAAGCGTTTTCCTTACTCGCAAATACACGTCGTGCGATATCTTTGTCGAGTTCAGTCTTAAGAGATTCTAATACACGTGGAACGTCTTCATAATTTTTGTTTTCTGAGGCAGTTGACAGGTTTTCCAGGCAAGATTGTATCACATTTGAGTTGTCATTAAGCGCTAAGTCTTTTATTATGTTAGTGAGATCGATACCCTGCAAAAGTGTTAATTTTTTAATTATAAAAATATAAAATAACCTGAGTAATGATGATGAATCATAGATTTGTTTACTTACTTGAGCTTCAAATTGTTTGATGGCATCCTCTATAGCTTCTTCAGGTGTCATCGATAAGTCTTCAATATTTTCTTTTACGACTTCGTCGTAAGTCTCCTGCTTGATCACTCGCACCATGATTACTGAGGTTTTATTTTCTACAGACTGTTTTTCACCTTCCTCGACCTAAATACCCATAAAAGGATTGAATTTCTGAGAGAATGATGATGCTGACTGCTGCTTCCACCATTCCCACTTAAACTCACTCACTCTTTACTCTCACTCTCGCTTGCTGTCTTGGCTAGTGATGGTAATCAGTGGTTTAGTGGTTTTATCCTAGCCGGAGTAAGATGACAGCAAGCAAAACTCCTGGAAAATCATTGACTATCAGCTGATTGAATTTCGGATAACTAGAGTTTTGTTGAAATGTCACCAGGGAGTGCGCCAGTAGCTGAAACTAGCCAATCAGATTGTTTGAAATAATTCAAATTTCCACAATGAAAACTCGTCAGAAACGTCACCATTGCACACGTCATCTAAAGTACGCCCTCTCATGTAATGTCGAAAATTAAAGACTCTTGGGTGTAATATGTGAAGAGCTGGCAAAAATCAACATTTTACGTAGGTTATTAAATACACCGATTCTGTAACAATAATCAACTCATCAAAATGGTAATTATTATTCATTTTCATTTATTAATTATAACACTTTGCGTAGTATTTTTTTGAACATGTCACATTTTTTAAAAAAACCGGAGTTCGATTTTATTAATTACTACACCTGTTATTATATTTAATTGTATTACAAGTGAAATGACGTTTTGAGTAGTTACTAATATTTATTTAAAATATCTAATGGACAATATGTTTTTTTTTTTTTAGGTACTGATATCAGCTGCAGTTACCACAAAGAATGGAAAAAGTGAGTATGACAGATACGTGTTTTACCATAACCGTGACAGTGCCATGTTGGACAGTTTTAAGAGATAATTATTTTACTTATCACTTTCAGCAATCGTGTCAAGACAATTCGTTGAGATGACGAAAGCCAGGATAGAAGGTCTTCTTGCTGCTTTTCCAAAGCTAATGAGCACTGGGAAGCAACATACCTTCGTTGAGACAGATTCTGTTAGATATGTCTACCAGCCTTTGGAAAAATTGTATATGCTGTTGATAACGACCAAGGCCAGTAATATTTTAGAGGATTTGGAGACCTTAAGATTATTTGCGCGAGTGGTAATTTTTTTATTTACTAACATTTTTTTAAGGTGTTATTTTGTGATACTGAAATTAACAGATATCTGTCAAATGTTTAGTTTTTTATAGCAACTAAATTATTATAAAAAAATTTCACTTCTAGAGATTGAAATAAATTACAAGTGCAAATTTTTTTTTTTATTAATGAACTTGCCATAAAAATTTAAAACATTGTCAGATATCAGCTTATTTCAGTATCATGTTATTTTTATATGAAAATTAAGTTAGCCGACATTTAAAAATTTTTCAAATTTTTTTTTTATTAAAAAAATTATTGCAATATAATAAAAAAAAATTTTCTTTTGTAAAAAACTTGAAAAACTAAGTGGAATTTTTAAAATATTTTTTAGTTCTAATTTAATAATTTAAAAAAATTAAAAACGTCGGCTAACTTTAGTGTTATTATTTTTATGTACAATTATTAATGAATATTTATAGATTCCCGAGTACTGTAAATCAATGGAAGAATCTGAGATCGCTGACAATGCTTTCAATTTAATATTTGCCTTCGATGAAATAGTTGCTTTAGGATACCGCGAAAGTGTCAACCTCGCACAAATCAGAACTTTTGTGGAGATGGATTCTCACGAAGAACGTGTGTTCCAAGCTGTGAGATTCACACAGGAACGCGAGGCTAAGAACAAGATGCGAGAGAAAGCCAAGGAGCTACAGAGACAGCGGATGGAGGCCAACAAAAAAGGAGGAGCCAAAAGTCCTAATTTCGGAAGTGGTTATGGCAATAGCAGTAGTAATTTCACACCTACTGCTAATGTTGTTGGTGATTCTGCGAATTATGTGCCTGAACCTGTTAAGCCGAGTTATATGCCATCGTAAGTTTACTTCTTGTAATAATTTTGTTCAATTTAATTCAAATGATACAGTTTTAAGTTGATTTTTTTTTTTTTACAGAAAACCTTCTGCTGGAAGTGGTGCCATGAAATTGGGAGGTAAAGTCCGTGACGTTGATTCATTTGTCGATCAATTGAAGGAAGAAGGTGAAACAGTTGCGTCGAATGTCAAAGTAGACACCAAGATAGCTCCAATTATTCCTCAAGCAGCTAACACAGAGCTGTAAGTATTTACTAAAAGTAAAATGAAAGAAACTGAAGGATAGAGTTGTTGATATCATTGTTTTTTTTTGTAGAGTACATTTAAGACAAGAAGAAAAGTTGAACGTACGCGTTGGTCGCGATGGAGGAGTCCAACACTTTGAATTGCACGGTTTGGTGACTTTGCATATTAAAGACGAAAAATGGGGTCGCATTCGCGTGCAATTAGAGAATGAAGATTCGCGAGGCATCCAGCTGCAGACACATCCGAATGTTGATAAAGATTTGTTCAGAACTCACGGACAAATAGGTCTTAAAATTCCTACTAAACCATTCCCGCTAAATACTGATGTAGGAGTTTTGAAATGGAGATTACAGTCTCATGATGAAACAGCCTTGCCTATTTCTAGTACGTATTTTTATAAAAAAAATTTATACAAATTTTTTTATTGGCTAAATTAAATTTTTATTTGATGATTTTTTTAGTCAACTGTTGGCCTTCGGAAAATGGTGAGAATGGATGCGACGTCAACATAGAGTATGAGTTGGAACAAACAGACCTGGAATTAAACGACGTGCAAATAAACATTCCATTGCCCATGGGTTGTAGTCCAATTGTAAATGAATGCGATGGTCAGTACACCCATGAGGCCAGAAGAAATACACTTTTATGGTCATTGCCGTTAGTTGATGCTTCTTCGAAATCTGGATCTATGGAATTTTCAGCGCCGTCCTCAACTCCTTCCGATTTTTTCCCACTGAAAGTTTCATTCACATCTAAAACTTCATACGCTAAAATAAAGGTAAATTATTATTTATTAAAATTATCAAAAGCTGCAATTTTATGACTTCAATTTAATGCTGATATTTTTTTTTTTCAGGTCATCGATGTATTGTTGGTAGAAGATGAAAGTCCAGTAAAACATTCAGTGGATACTGTATTCTCTACAGAAAATTACGAAGTCGTGTAATTTAATAATATTTAGGCACATGATAATAACTCATGTTATTTGTATGATTATAATTTAGGTAGATAATATTGGAGTCACAATAACAATAATGACTATCTTTATTATGCCTTGAGGTAATTAAGTATCTTTTAAAATTAAGGAAAATAGTTTAAGATTCTTAAGAAAAATGAATAAATTTTTACGGCCCGTCGCGATACCATTCTTATAATTTTTATTTAAATATTGAATAACTGTGAATAATTGAAAATTTTAGAAAATTAGCAATTACTGTTACATTATTTTATGCATTTCTTTATATATATATATATATATTTTTTTTCTAAGTATTACTTTAAGATATATATATATTATAACTATTCTATAAATATAAATATAAAATAAATTCACTAGACATCAATAATTATTTTTTCATAACAATAACATTTATTAAATAAATCTCACTTATAATTACAATATTAATTTATACATTGCTGTATTATATAATTTTCAATTACAGCCTTAGCTGTATTAGATTTTTTCAACACCGCTGCATGGTAAGCACTTATATTATGGTTATTGCGGTGTGTTAGATCGGCACCCCGTGTCAATAGTTCGTAACAAACATGAGGATGGTCTCCATGAGCCCCATAAATTAATGGAGTATTCCCTTCCTATAAATTGATATTTTTATGAAAATTAAATTAGCCAATTCTGAAAATTTTATTGAAAAATTATTAAAAAACAATAAAAAAAAGAAATTTCACATAAGTATAGAAAATTAAAAAATTTATATGAAAATGAAGTTAACCGAAATTTCAAAACTTTTAGAAATTTTTTATCGAAAATTTCAATTAAACAATTAAAAAAAAAAATTTCACATCTAAAAAACTTGAAAAACTATAAGTGCAATTTTTTAGAAATATCTTTTTAGTCGTAATTTAATTAATAAAACAAAAAAAATACAAAATTTTTAGACGTCTGCTAACTTCCGTGTCATAAATTTACACGTGCAATTTTTTAAAAATATTTTTTTAGTTCTAATTTAATTAAAAAAAAGTCCAAAATTGTTGAACGTTGGCTAATTTTAGTATCACATATTTTTTAACTTGGCTGACAACTGTCAATTTTGTTAAATTCTCATAACAAATTAATTATAATAAAAAAAATGTTTCTAAAAATTTCTACTAATAATTTTTAAAAATTTTTACAAGTGGAATTTTTTTATAATAATTTCATTGTTATATACTTGTGTCATAAATAAATAAATAGATAAATAAACAATTACCTCATCGCTGACATTGGGATCAACATTGTTACTCAACAACAATTTAACCAGATCATGATGTCCATACGAAGCTGCGAGATGCAAAGCTGTCTCACCATTCAAGCCTTTGTAATTTTTATCAGCTCCTGCTTTGATCAGCTGTCTTGCCGTACCTAATTGACCGTGAGCAGCAGCCCACATTAGTCCTGTCAAGCCATTTTTATCCGTAGCATCTACGGGGGCTAATTTTAAATGGTCTGCTGTTAATTCTCCTTGTCCTGCCAGGGTATGGAAGGTAATGTCACTGTCAGCATAAAGTTGAGGGATCTCAGTCTTGGTATTACCTCGTTGCAAATTCGTGAGTAGTGTCGGTGGCTATAAGATTAAATATTAATTTTTATTATACAGTATAAAACTTTTAACAATAAATAATTTAAATATAAATTATTAACTAAGTACCTTGTAAGGTTGAAAAGCACTAGTTCTGGTAGCATCTTGCCACGCTCCCGGTGCCCACTGCCATTTAGTTTCAATAGGCTCTGACTTGCGTTCAATGTTTACATTCTCAGGTTTGCAAATCATAGGTCTAGGTCTGATTCCAATAGCACTTGTTCCTTCAGAACCACCAAGTACTTCTTTTTTATCGTCTACGAATTCCAGAGTTTCATTTGATGATTCAATTGTTTCTTCTTTTAAAATTAATTCTGTATGAAACTCTGAATCCATTATACTATTTATTTTTAATTATTGTATTTTCATAACAATTAAAAAACTTGTTTTTCTTTTTTAAATACACCAAGACTGTAAACAATAACAATTTTCTTTAAATTTGAGGCAGTTTTCATGAACACGATCGCTAAGTTATTATGTTGGAAATATAAATATAAATGTATATTTGTATGTAAACAAACTTTTTTACATAGTGGAACTATTTACTCGTTAAGAAAATTTAATTAAAAGATTAATTAACTAATTAATAAAGTAGGTAAAATTTTATTTGACATTGATAAAATTGAATGATTAAAGCATAACCTCATTCTATGTGATACTGAAATTTTGACAGACACCTGCTAATTTTTTTTAAATTTTTATAACAATTAAACTACAATAAAAAAAAATCCGCATGTAAAAAATAATAAAAATATAAGTACAAATTTTTAAAAATATATTCTTAATTATAATTAATTTGTTATAAAAATTCAAAAAATTTGTAGATATCCACTAATTGTTATTAGTGATAGATTTTTTTTATTTAAGAATTATTACAAAAAAAAAAAAAAAAAATCTTTATTTTCATTTGTTAAAAACTTCAAAAAAATGTATTTCTTATGGCATATATTTTTTTGTAAATAAAGATAAAAATAAAAAAAAAATTTTTTTGTTTACATGCATTTTAAGTTAAGTAAGCAAAATAAAAAAATCAAAAATGTCGGCTAACTTTATTATTATCCATTTTATCGGTAATTCTTTTGTAATAAATAAATTCCTACTATTAAATTTTTTTTTATTAATTTATAACATTAAAGTTAGCAGTTACTTAACCGTTTTTTAATTTTGTTTTACAAAAAAAATTTATTCCCAAAAATTATTTTTAAAAAATTGCATTTTTAATTCTTTAAAGTTTCTTCTACTTGTCAATTTTTTTTTTTTTTTTTTTCATTTTTTTACCATAATTTATTTGTTAGAAAATTTTTTTAAATTATCAAATATCTACTTATTAAATTTTCATTATTAATTTTATGCTTTATTTTATTATTTTATTTATGCTTTAGGTAGAATGGAACCATACACTTTAGAACTAGACAAATCAACGGGAAAATACTTAACACTTTATTTATACCGAGATGTCAAAAATATGCCGGAAATACGTAAAAAAATATTAGCAAGTGAACTGCACTGCTGTATATTAAAAGCAGCTCTAGTAGTAGATCCTTTTCAAGTGGCAGTAGCAGCCAACAAAGCTGTGTTAAAAGAAAAAGCAGGAACACTTGTAACTAAATCATTATTCACGGAGATCCTTTTCGCTATATCATCTTCATCAAACATCTCCTTGTCATTGACCAAGTTCGGAGTTAATGAAAATGATAAGGATATTTTAATAGGATTAATTCACCATAAAAATGACAGAGACTCTATGGCAGAAAATATTCTGTGTCACATTGATGGACAGATGACTCCAATCTCCCAGCTGGACCATGTAACAGATGTTAAGTTACTAAAAAAAATATATAAAATCGAGGATGAGGAGCTCAAGGTATCCAGTTTAACGGACTCAATCGTTAGTAGGATAGGAGGAGATTACCCAGTATCACTAAAATAATTGTTTAATATTTATTATGAAATAAAAATTGCAATTTTATTATGCCGTTTTATTTATTTAATAGTTTATATTTAATAATTAATTAATAAATTGTATTGTATTATAATTAATATGAATTATCACCAAGTAAACCAACGATGTTGCTGAGAAGTCATCCGACTCGAATTGACATCGACGAAAGCGATTACAACCAATAAATTTATACTCCAGTTAATATTCATCCGATCGTAAGCTCGGAGATTGACAATCGACCATTTTATTCTTCGTTAATTTATTAAGTTAAGCAAACTATTTTTCCACTCCTGTATCACAGTTTTTCACTTATTAAAAGTTTTACAAATAAAATTTTTTAGATTATGTGGTGCTTTGTTTATTTATTTTTTTTTTTTTTATTGTTACGCGATAAGATTTTAATAAATCAGTTGTAATCAATCGATACAGTTCTTTCTCACTTGTTCATTAATTTAATTGCCATACTTCCATAACTTTTCAAGGGTGGAGTCTTCTCATAGAAGCATCCTATAATAATAATCCAAACAATCATTCAATTCTTACATTAATTGCTTATTTATTAATTAATTTTATCAATATTATATTATATTATATAAAGTGTTTTTATTATAATTTTAACTTCAATTTAAAACATTAAATAAATGAATATAAGTGGCGTCTAATGCGCAAAAAAAAAAAATTTTTATTTTCTTATAAGTATTTTTATTCTTATTTAAATAAAGACCAAAAGGATGGAGAGAAAAAAAAATTGTTGGTATGTCCAAATATCCAAATTAGTTATTACATCCTGTGAGAAAATAAAAAAAAATAAAGTAATGAAATAAAAAGTATAAAAGAAAAATCAAATGACTGTTGATTTATCAATGAACTATTCAATAATTATAATTATAATAATAAAAATGAGTTTTTACCTCGGGAGGCTGCACATTTCACATGAACCTAGCTCAGCAGGATTTAAAAAGGTGCAGTGAGGGCATGTCCAAAGCGACTGAGTGGACGTAGCAGTGACACTGGAACTGGTACCAGCTCCAATTCCAATCCCAGCACCGGCAGACGAGCTTCCGTCGTCGCCAAACGAGACTGACTGAGAAGTCATAGGCGGAGACGCCGTTGTGGCGGAAATCAGTTGCTCCACAGTGGCCCAGTGCTCGCTCCGGGCCCACTCAAGAGCTTTTTGTCTGTCGTTCTGTCTGATGGCCTCCAGTAGAGGTGACATGTAATCCTTCATCGGCAGCATGTCCATTGTCATGATGAATAGGAGTAAATGGAAGTCTGAGATCGCTTCCAAAAACTGATCGGGACCAAATTGCTGCATGTACGTACACAGAGAAGTGAATTCTTGGATTTGTCCATCGACCAATCTACGAAATTGATAAATTAATCAATAAACATAATATAATTAAGCTCAATTCAATGATAGAAATTAAAAAATAATCAATTGTTATTATATAACACATGAAGATGAAATTAGCAAACATTTGACATTAAAAATTTTTTTTGTTAAAAAATTATTACTATTTAAAAAAAAAAAAATCTACATGTAAATTTTAAATGAAAATTTATTTAGCGGATATTTAATAATTTTTCTGATAAATAAATTACTGGATAAAAAAAATTGACATTTACAAAATTTAATAAATTAAAAATGCATTTTAAAAATAAAAATTTTTCAGAATAAATTTTTTTGTTAAATAAAATTAAAAAATATCAAGTGACAGCTAACTTTAATAACATAAATTTGAAGAATTATTTTCAAAAAGGAATTTTTTATGAAATTGATAAATATAATATAATTAAGTTCAGTTTAATAACAAAAATTAAAAAATAATCAATTTTTATTATATAAGATATGAATAATAATAAAGTTAGCCGACGTTTTTAATTTTTTTTTTAATTATTAAATTAGAACTAAAAAATATTTTTTAAAAATTGCACTTTTAATTTTTCGAGTTTTTTACAAATAAAAATTTTTTAAAATTATTTTATAATAGTTTTTTTAATAAAAAAAAATTCTAAAAAATTTTAGATGTCGACTAACTTAATTTTCATAACATATGAAGATGAAATTAGAATTAGCAAACATCTGACATTTAGAATTTTTTTTGTTAAAAAATTATTATTTAAAACAAATAAATCAACATGTATATTTGAAGAATTATTTTTAAAGAGGAATTTTTTTAGTTATAATTTAATTAATAAAAAATTTTCAAACATCTGCTAATTTCAGTGTCATTATTGTCTATACCTGTTCTCGACCGGGAAAGGTGTGACATTATCACTGGCAAAAAATGTAAACTGAGGTGTCAGTGGAGTAGAAGCAGGAACATCAACCAATAAGTACTCGACAGGCAAAGGTCTCGCCAATCTAGACACCTCATTTCCATACGAATCTTTTCCCTGCAATAAAACAAAAGTAATTAATAAAATAAAAATAATTAGCAATAACGATTTTTAAACAAAGATTATGCGCATGTCCCCCCTGCAACTGCTCTGGATTTCTGGGCGAGAAATCAAACTTGCCGCCTACTCGAAATATCTGTCGACTATCGACTTTTTGTGCCGGGTAGCGGGCCCGCTGCGTTTTCTCGCGTGACAGTCGTAACTGTCCGGTTTAACCAGTAATAACAAATTTAAATAGCTAATGTTTTTGTTATGTCTACTACCACTACGTGTCCAGATGGGTTAAAAAATTATAAATCCTAGTGAATATTTCGGACACTGTCATGTGAATATTTGAAATATAAAATAAAATAAAAAATGTCACGTAGATATTTGGTTGAGGGTTAAGTCGGTTTAGTTCGGGCGTAGATTTTCTGTCACGGAAATGGCGGCAAAGACAAAGGGTACCTTGAGGATAAGGGGAAAGGGGTGAAGATAAACCCGAGGCGAGCAGAGGAAGGAGTAGAGTTTGAGTTTGGCGGTACGCTACGGGGAATAGTCGGCAAGAGGAAAGAGGCGGGTATAGACGAACGTCCAACTATTATATATACTCAGTAGCGACCTAGCGACACTGCGCCCTCACTCTTTCTGGTGGTAGTGGTGTCGGTGGAAATACACATATGTAATAACACAAAAGCAGAACATACAGATGGATGGTAGCTGGGAGCTAGGCTCGGGTACTGGTATCTCATACGTCACACATGTGTGTCCCAATGTCAGTGTGAGTGTCTCGGTTCTAGTGACTAGTGTGTGATGTTGGACGGTCGGCTGTGGTCGTCGTTCGGTTCCTCGCCGCCATGCCAGTGGTTAGTGTAGTGAACCAAACGTCATGATGTGGCAATCAAATCACTAGTTGAAATAATATAAAAGGTGTCTGGTCTTAAATGAGGCACCTTGTTACCGGCGAGTTACATTATGCTGCTGTCCACATAACCGTTCGATAACGTCGCCTCGAGTTCACCCAGTGATTTAATATTTAAACGTCCAAGTCCGACCCGCGATACCGATAGCAAGCAAACACACTACACCGCTGAGGAACGACCAGAGTGCCAGCGGTAGAGTCGCGCGCGCGACCGAGAACACACAGAGGGGGGGAAAGACGAGGGAAATTTTATCCAACATTATATTTAATATAATAAATAATAAATACATTTACTATTTATTATTTACAATAAATACACATATATTTATTTACATAATACTATTTTAAATAACAATAATAATAATAATATATATACCTATATAAATATATATTTTGTTATTCGTATAGTACTGAGTAAGTAGAGTGGTCATTATAAAGATGCCGCGCAAAACATCAACCTTTTAGCTTCGATGCCTCGACAAGTTTTTATCTAACATATTACATGCATATATTGTGTATATTATAAGACGCGGGTGTGGAAGATATTGTCCTGGAGGTCTATCATCATTCAGCCACTAAATCCTGGGAATTTAAGATTGAGCTAATACGTGATAACGAGTCCTCCTTCCTGGTGGACACACCATTCAACACGGTATGATTTTCATTGATTTTTATTTTTCATGTTTATTACTAGAGGTAGTGTTGGTGTTGTTGTTGTTATTATTATTTGTTATTTATTATTATTATTATTGTAGTTTTAGTTTTAGTTTTCAAGTTTGAATAATAATAATAATTAATATAACTATTATTTTTTTATTCAGGAATTGTAAAGGTGCCTGAGTTGAATGAATTATTGTATTTTGTCTATATTATAATTTAATGTAAACGCGGCAATTTATTGAGTGATGCTCGACCACAAGTTGATACGAAACGTGGCCGGCCTCGACAGTGTAGATGTGGGTGTGTTGAGTACATACTGACTTAATATATGTATGGGTGAATGATATTTTTTGCGTTCAATAAAAAAAGAAAAAAAAAATCATTCCAAGCTGTTTGATTGTCGTCACAGCGATGTAACAGTTGAGTGGTTAAGTTATTAAATCTACAGCAACTGGATTATGGATCACGTGCCCGATTATTACGAAAATTTAGTAGACCGCCAGAAGAATAACAGCAGGCAATTAAATGAATAGATAGATACAACATACAGCGTAATGAGAATGATAAATATGTATTTGCGTAGTTGCGTATGTGCAGTCGGTGGCTCTAGCTCTCTCTCTCTTTTGGTCATTAGCTCTCTCTCAATTCAGTGTGTTGTATCAACCGACCTACCAACCGCCCCCTTTTCTCGCTCAAACGTACGAGCTTCCGTACTCTTTTGGCGGGAGTTTCAGCGCACGCGTGTTTATAAATTTAACTTTGTACTTTAATAACTCAAGTGTTGATACTTGGTTTATTTTTATTTGCCCTTTTGTTGTTAATTTTTTTTCTACCTAATAATAAAGATTTATTTTTAATTGCGTAGATGCTCGACCCAAGTGTGCTGACCGACCTGGAGGAATTGACGTTATGTGGATTTTGCAAACAAAAGTACAACGATGCAGAACTTTGTCCAAAGTATTTGAGTTGCAAGCACTATTTTTGCTTGAGATGCATCGAGAGTAACTTAATGAAGGGTCGGGAGTTGTTTTGCGCGCACTGCTGGAAGAGAACAGATCTTGGTGATCAAGGACCAGACGCTTTGCCGACCAATTCTCCTTTACTTGCCCTAGCCAATAACTTTACCTACCTCAAAATTACCAGTAACAATACGTCTTGCAAACAGAATGATAAGGAACGAAAGGTATCATTTATTTTTCATCATTCTAATAGATAAAATAGTGATGATAGTTATAATATCGACATAGATGTAGTTTAATGTTGAGAAAGCACATGACAAATGAGAAGCCTTACTAGAATTATAGCAATAATGGGATTATTATTCAAGGCTATCAGTTGTGTATCATAGATTTAGATTAAAAAAACGATTTATTGTTACAGAGTGAAAATTGTCACACTCATGGGATGCCCCTCACTTTGTGGTGCTCTTCTTGCTGTATATTGCTATGTCGAGCCTGTGCTACACCTCATGAACACCCTGGTCACCAAATAAAAACGCAAACAGATGCCAAAGAACAGCTTATATCCGACGTACGTTCATTTATTTATATAAAACTGAAGATTTATTTATATTGATGAATTATATTAATTGTTTTTTTTTTTTTTTTTTTTTTTTTTTTCCTTTTTTTTTTGTCTAGGTCCAACATGAACTAGTTACAATGGGAAAACTATCGTCAGAAATTCAAAGAATGGCGATGCAACAGAGAGAATTTTTAATAAAAGTTCTCGAAGCCTGTGTAACTCTCAAGACACACGTGGAGACTGACTTACAGAATGGATGGACACATTTTCCAGAAATATCTGACGCACGTGAAACACTTGGCAAAGCTAAAGCTAGTCTTCAGGTGAGTGATAGCCCGAATGATGTTTATAGTCTTCATTCCCACTTAGTTATGGAAAAACAGAGGCTACAATCAAAGTATCAAGAAATGATGCTGCAATGCCAGTTGGACGATCTGATTGGTAACTCCGGGGTAATATTTGACTTTGGTTTGCTTAAACAAGCGCTCGCTAGTATTCATTCTGGCGAACCTATTTTATTACAACCAGCTGGAAATGGCAGAGTACATAATCACATATCCGCAGCTCAAAATCCCATTCTCTTCCTCGCAAACTACTGCATGTCTCAGCTCTATTCGCGCCACGTTGTCAGCAAACAGCACATGCAAAACGGTACCATCGATTACCACACCAACATGATACAAACTCCAGCCCCGCCGGGATCTATTCACATTCATCCTGTTCAATTGGCACCGCAGGGACAACCAATAGCCCAAACCCAATTGCTTATTCCTCCAGGATCTCCGTCAGTTAAACCAATACAAACAGTTCCGCCAAATTCAATTCTTCAACCACAGCCGAATGCTTTTATGCAAGATAATGGTTCCAGCGGTAGTGGAGTCGGAAGCTTATCTGTTCACTCCCCGACAAGCAACAGCAGCATCACTGTTACTCTACGTGGACCTTCTGCAAATCCCTATCCGATGTATTACTTCAACATCGAGGTAAACGGCTCGCCACACGGGCGTATTGTTATCGAAGTAAGACCTGATGTAGCTCCGAAGATGGCCAAAAATTTTAGCGTTCTAGCTACTGGAGAAATCGGTGTCGGTTACAAAGGATGCTCGATATTTCAATGCTGGGAAGGTGAGTCTGTCATCACCGGGGACTTTGAATTGAACAATGGACGTGGAGGCCGTAGTATTTACGAAGATGGTTATTTTATGCCTGATGATACCAAGTTCCCAGCAGTACGGGGCGCAGTCGGTATGCGTCGTACACAAAAACGTCATGATAATCTCGGTATGGTCGGCTCCCAATTCCGAATTATTTTGCAAGAAATGCGTGGCTTTACCGGTATATTTGGTCATGTTGTCGAGGGGTTGGAACTTGTCGAAAAAATATCTACCTACGGCGATCAAACCGGTAAGCCAACGAAGACGATAATTATTACAAAATGTGGTAAATTGTAACGCAGTAACGACGCAATTAAGTGTGATAACGACAAATGCAATTTCGACGATCTCTATGCGCTTTCATCGTTCAAAATGATTAGAGGATAACTATTATTTTATGTTGTGCGAAGAAAACTAATCTATTAATATTATTACTATAATTATTATGAATCATGGGAAATTATTATTAATATTATAATTATAACTATTATTATTACTATTATGATTATTATAAATATGAAATGTGACCATCGTTATACGTAGGTTGCACCTGTTGCGTTTTACGGTGCACCGTTAAGTTTACTGTCTTGATTTATTATTATTATTATTATTATTATTATTATTATATCAACTATACAAAGTAGAGATTTAAAAAGATGTTGAATCTATTTTTAAAGAGCGAGTAATACAAAAAAAAAGTAATGATGTTGATACTGATAAATAGAACCGTATTTTGCTATGTATGATGAGTAGTAGTGGGGAAAAAAAGTTGTAGAGATAAAAAGATAGTTTAAAAGGGCATCAACATTACTTGATGCTGTTTCTACAATAGAGACGATGGTTCCACACATACGTACCTCATATCGATCGTAAAATCGATACTAAAAAACTTCTAGCTATATTTAATGATAAAAAATGTTTATTTTGAACAAGGCTCGTCGTTTGTAATCATTATTAATTTTCCTTTTCTTATATTAATTGATAAAAATATATATTATATTATAAATAATGACTACCGACACGAAACTATAGATTTTTTAAAGAGAAAAATGAACGCGATCATGCGGATCTTAGTTTTGACGATATATTTAGCGAGTAATGTATATGATTATTATTATTATTATTATAATTATTGAATTAAGTTTAAACAAATAAATATTAAAAATGTCGAATGTTGGAGTATACACACATAAATGATATATATTATATATTAATAGATATATTATATCTATATAAATGTATATGAAAATATATTTTTAGTCAAAGATTTGTGTGTTATTGTTTGACGTATGGCAAATTATAAAGATTGCTATTGATTGCGTACAAAAATAAATAGAGCTGAGAAAAATATTTGTGTGATTGTCGATTTTTTGCGATTGTAATTGTTGTGTTTTTAAGAGAGAGAAAAAATAAAGTGCTGGTTTAAAATAATAAAATTAGGTAGACAACAATGTCTTCCTTTTTTTCGATCGTTAACGACGAGAATGGAGAATTTGGATTCGTAATGTTTACTATTGTAATTAATAATTATTATACTTAGATCTTAATTGTGTGAATATTATCTACGGGGCCTAACTACAGCGTAGAACGCAAAGGCGTCCTCGTACCTTCCAATTGATGATTAAAGTAATATGAGTGAAAAAAAAAAAATATTAAAAAATAAAAAAAAAAGGAAATATAAATGAAATAAATATATTAACTGATAAATCATTCCTTAACAGTGTATATCAAAAGTAAAAATAAAAATACTACGATAATGCGTTAGAATAATAATAATAATAAAAAATATTAAAGAAATAAAATGCTCGTGTAACATCTTCGTTAGTCCAATTGTTATGTATTATAAAATTGTATAAACTATCACTCCTACGTGGGAAGATTGATAAGTACGACGATGCTATTTAAATGGCATTGAAAGAGTTAGATAACAATAATAATAATATTATTAATAATAATAATTAAAGAAAATAATATGTGGACGCACTATATATACAAAAAACAAAACTCTTATTATTATTATTGTATATGTACACAGAGAGATACTATTGCACGCCATGTTGAGTCGTGAATGCCTTTCTCGAAGTGAACCTCATTCGATGTTAAACTTAAAAGTTTTAAAACTTGTTAATTAAATGATAAATGTGTATTGTAAAACATGGCTAAAAAAAATAATAAAATAATAGTTACTATGAATTATTAAAGCGTACGCCGGTGTGTGAATTTTATCGCGATGAGTGGCGAATACGTATTTAGAATAGTCTCATCGTATTAAGGATATAAATTATATTACACTATTAAAAATAAATGAATAAAAATATATATTACTATAAATATTGGAATGTGCAAAACTAAATAAAAATCACGACGAATTAAACGAAAAAATTTAAGTATATTTTCTGAGCTCCGATGTAGCCCACGTGTCCGCGCTATGAATCTAAATAAATAAAACAAATATATCCACGGTTAAGGCTTGTCCTACCTGTAAATAGACATATATTTTTATGAATGCGACAAGGCAGATACGCGTAGATTGTAATAACGACTTCGACGACCGTCAGTTTAGTTTTCACCCTCGCAAATCGATTTAAAATAATAAACAAAAATGAAATGAAATAAAAACCATCTATCTACACAAAATTTGTAAGTTACATTTTTACTATTTTTCTTTTCTGCTTTTTGTTAATTACATTATGTTAAATATCTTCAATTTCCAATACTAATTATTTATTATTATTATTCTTATTATTATTATTATTACTATTATCATTGATAATTATAATTACTATTAGTTGATAAAAATAAAGTTATGACAGTTGTTTTTGTAAACCGGCCTACGGTATTATTTATCTACGCATGAGATAAACACATGTCACTTTACCAAATGTACTTGATGAAAAAAAAAAAAAACAATCTATCATGTTTGGTTCATAAATTATTCTATTTCGTTCAAACATTTGATGTTTTTATTATTAAACCCAAAACTTTTCTTATACATATCCTTAAACTCCTTAACTGCTAGATAAAAAATGAAAAAAAAAAGTTGTCAAAAAAAAATCTTACCTTGTAGTAGACATCTGGAACGTACTGCTTGTCGGACGATTCACGAACATACCCAAGTTCTGGAGCATCTTTGGTGGGTACTAGACAATTATCACGCACTAGTGCCATACACTGATTCGAAACTTGATAACCTTCCATGTGAACTTGGTTCTTATCGTCTCCTGTTTAAATAATAAATTATCCAACATTAATATTATGTAATTAAAATTTACTGTAAACACAATGATAAACCTACCTGTAACACAGACTGTGGCAAATTTAGAACCAAATATTCCACTGGGTGAAAAACGACATGGATTCGGATGTTGGTTTTGATAGTGACCAGCCATAATACATTCTTGAGCAGAAAGGAAATGACTTTCGATGTTTCGGACATGTTTCACCTGCATTATAAAATAACAAAAAAAAAAATTAATCTAATCTTTTAAATATTAGTTAATTTTTTAAAAATACTTACAGTTCCTTTTTTTATGTCGTCAGCAATTAAATCAGTAAAAATCCAACCAACTCTTCTTAAATTAAGTTTTTGAGCTAATTCTTGGACTAATGGTTCTCTTTCATCGGGTAAAAGATTTATTGAGTCTCTTGTAGTTTCCTAGATAATAAATCCAATTATTTTGAATAAATAAAAAATGGGACTGATAATAAATTTAGTTTTAAAAAAGTATCTACCTGAGGAGGCTCATAAATTGCAGAAACAACAGCTCGTATTCCAAGAGGAACGTCTGCATGAATTTCATATCTACCGTACAGATAACCCAAGCGTTGATGACCTGTGCTTCGCCAGTAATTAAGAAAGCGCTCTACTAAACTCGCGTTTTCAAAAACAACATTATCGATGTGTCGATAAGGCTGTCGATTTAATGTTATTGCATTTGGTTGACATTTACTGCAAATACCACGTGGCCACGGTGGATGATCTTTACATCCTCTCTTTATACGACAACTGATGTCTTCTAATTGTAAAAATTTACCTCTAAAAATAAAAAAATACATTTCTTTAGTAAAAGCAATCAATCATTTTTATAATCATACTCTAATTATTATAGTTATATTATTTTTATACTCTTAGAAACAGGAAAACCTCTATATTTACGAGAATTATTTTCGCAAATATAGGGCTAGTAAAAAATATATTATTTTTAAAATACCAAACTATGTAACTTCTTATGAAAATTTATTTGTAGTATCATCTATTCAACTTTGGCAAGAATTACCACAAGGAATAATTCAATCAAGCAGTATCGAAGTTTTCAAAAATCAAATTTATAATTGCTTGTTAAATCTAGATTTTAAATAAAAATAGATAAAGTTAAATCTAATGTAAAAACTTATTATGATCTTTTTCTTTAACTTTTAATTTATTAGTTAATTTTAAGAAAAGATATTATTAAAAAACAATTATAATATTAAAATGTACACACAATAAAACAATAAAAAATGAGGCGAAAAAAATTTTTCGATCGTAAATAAAAGCACTCTCTGATGCTTCGCATCATGAGTCGTGCAATTATGTAAGTTGCCATACGACCTGTGCCTTGGCATATGTTAATAAAGAATAATAATAATAATAATAATAATAATAACAATAATTAACATTACCTATCTACTCCAGCAGTGAGTTTTCTAAGATAAGAGTGAAATGATAAATGTTTGACATTCTGTTCTTTCAAATAATTTTCATCGAATGGTTCCAGTGATGAGCAGTGGACACAGCAACCATTAGGTCCGTGCCTGCATCTGTGATTGTTAAAATATAATCATTAATAATTGTACAAATTTTAACGTGTCATATGATTTATAAAAAATTACAATTTCTCGTCGCGTTTGCGTTGGATTTTTCCATCCATTTTCCACAGTTGCTCGTCCACATCATCGATCTCGGTGGTGGTTACAGGTCTTACAGTTACGGGAATTGAAGCTGCTGGCGTCGATGTAGAAGGTAAACCTTTACTCGTGCTCGGTGTTACATCCATAGGAACTGGATCTATGATAATTAAATTTTTGTTACAAATTAAGATATTTAAATAAGTAAAAAATAAAAAAAAAAATACATACTCGAATCTGCGGTACTAGTTGTGGGAGTATTCCAAAGAAGAGTACCGTTAACTGGTGCAAGATAAAGCATGTCACCATGGCCGAGTCCACACGCCGATACTGACTTACTTTTGCTGGATATAAGCTCATCTTTGTGATTCCTTTGTTTGAATAAACTGAATCCAAAGCTGTTCAATTGAAATTCTTCATAAACCTGCCCACAAATATTTATTATTATCAAAATTATTTAAATAAATTAAAAAAAAAATTTACCAGCTATATTAGTTTAAAAAATTTACCTTTTCAAAGAGACTACAAACAGTGTCTGTAGGGTCAATATCAATTCTTTTTGTTCCTTCGGGTGACTGAACTCGCAGCGTCTAAAATTAGAAACGGATTAAAAAATTTATATTTATTGACAATAGTCATAAAAATACGGATTCTAGATAAACAATATCAAATATACAACTAGTTGATACAATATAGATCATAGCAACCGTCTACTCAAAAACTGACGCGTGTATTGCAGTAAACATTCTCGAAATTTATTTAAAATCCAAAGCTTATACCTAAAATTATCCACCAATAAAAATAACCTTGTAAATTTAACCAAGTAATAAATAATTAAAGCTATGATAAAATAATAATAATATAAGGTAATAATTAATAAAAAAAATCTTACAATTTGTTTCAATGATTTTGACATTTCGCCGGTGACTATGATGCATCAGCTGTTCTTTATTTCAGTGTGTTAACCCGCTTGTCTGGTTATCCGCAAATCTCCAGTGCGCTGTTTTCAACGCCGTTATTCTTATCGAGAATAGAGTGCGCCTTAACACTTGTATCACTCGTTATGTTGTCATATATATGTAGGTGTATACCTACATGCATATAATATAAAATGTATATACAAGTATATTAAATATAAGTATATAAAATGAGTGTTGTGTTTTAGATGAAAAATTTCTGCCGAGTCAACTTGCTGGTGGGCAACCTAACCTCAATGGATTTACGTGTAGACAAATGTATTCTTGGCAAATAAATATCAAAATATCGTAATCAATCTTTATATATATATATACCTAATACACACACTTTTTTAACCCGCGTATTTTTTGTTGATTATTTTTGCAGCACAAAATTACAAGTATAATTTAATAAAAATAAATAATAAATTAATGAAAATCACTGTGATGTTTGCACCAACACTCAATATTTAAAGAGAACTAAATATTTAAAGGGACTTTATACTTTATATACTCAAAATATTTAAAATATTAACATACCATCATGTGCATCAGGACACGAGACACAAATAAATAGTCAAGAGGACCTCTTTGTTGTGGTAGTAGTCACGTTGTCTTTATCTCTCTACAAGTTAATTCTTCGTCTGTTTCATTACCAACACCATCAGACGAGTAAACGTTACACTACTTTAAAGGTATGTATATACGTGCGTATATCAACTTCTTGAATATCAAGAATGAGTAAGCGTTATAACTTGTAATATAACAATAACGAGTAGTTGTATTCGTCCATACGCTCTACAGTGCGTTCGAATAGGTAAAAATTGATATTATATATTTTTAATTATATTGAATTTTTATTTTACTAGACAGTACGAGTGGCAGTGTATACGCGCGTGAGCTTTATTTTATTTAAATGAAGCAACTTTATAATGAGTAATGAGTATCAAGCAAGGCTATATAGCAGCATGCGTCGATATGTATATCTACACTTCACAGGGTCATTTACCAACTGCCTTCTACAGTTAAATATATAAATATATATATATATATTTCTTATGAATAATATGCTTATCATAAAACAAATGAATGAGTTAAATTGATATTCGACAAATAATTCTTCTTCCTGATGAAGATGATGAGGACGGCGGTAAAATACTTTACGTGATTTATGTCTACTTTGATAAACTATCTGAGCTGTTAAATATATATCAAAGCTTTGGTCTTTCGCGTATCGTGATTGACATTAATTTTTCAGCACGTTGCTGCATTGGCTTGCGCAGTTTCAAAATTGCGCAGTAAAATAAAATAACAAAAGTTGGCGGCTTTTGATTTTATTCAAACCTACATACTTATGTATATGTTCTGCGTAAAATTAAAACTTTCTATTAACGGTAATGAGAACACTCTTAAAGTTCCTGGATGACCTCCTTTTTACTACTTTTTACTTACTTTTGCAAATTCAAACTCTACTGACAATCCCAACTTTACCTAGGGGTTTCTTCTTGCCAAGAATTATAACCGCTCTCTCTTTCTATTTATCAGTTTCTTCGTCTTTATCCATTACTTCTTCTCTTCTTCTTTCTCTTCCTCTTATTTTCGGTGGCCCTCAGCACAAGAGTTCTGATGCGCGTTTTAAATTTTCGTGGAGGATGCATTTGGTAGCCAGTAGTCATCTAGCTTAGAGGTGACTCCTCTTTATTATTCTGGTGCTTTATCCAAATTATCACTTATCATCTTCAGATTTATAAATTTTACATGTAAGTACTTATTAACTATCACTCATACTCCGTTTGAAAAATAAATAAGTAATTACTAACAATTAAATCAAAATCAGCTGATTGATTGACGCTGATAAAATCACTCACTGCTAATTAAATGACGTTGATCCAAGATTCACCAGCTTATTTGCTTGTTGTTGCTTGTATTTACTTGTTGTTCTTTACTTTGATTGGTACGTGCAGCGACTGCTCGAGTCAGTGTCCGAATATATTTAATATTTCTATTCTTATCTACCGGTTGTTGGTTTGTTCTTTGTGATCTATTATTTAGTCTACACCCCTAAGAGCTTAAGAGTGATTATTATCTTTAATTATCAATCATAATGTTGAGATACATTTGGAGTTTACCTCCGATTGCTGTGAGTACTCATTTTTCTCACCTACTCGCAGCTCAGTGTATTCAAAAAATTTAATTTAAAAATGTATTATTATCAAATGTCTTTTTATAATTAATAAGTACCTATACATTGTTGTTATAAATAAATTAATGAGAAATTATTATTTTCAGAGGCATAAAAATATGGATAACAATGAAGAAATGGGTACAAAAGTGGAGCTTTACGTGTATGATTTGACCAAAGGAGCTGCTACGATAATGTCTCAACTTCTTATAGGTATATTTATCAATATTAAAATATCTTGAGTATGAAGTGAAGGATAAACTTGTCGTTATTAAATATAAAAATAAATATGAAAAATTATAATAAAACTAAAGGAGAATAAACTGAGAAGGTAACATCGTGAGAGTGATACAAAAATACAATCTAAATAAAAATCACGTGCTTGCCGGTCATCGGGTACATTTTTATACCAGTATCAACAACTTTTTATTTTATACATTGACCAATCAAGTGGACTCTAAGCATCACTTGTTACGAGTAGAGCTGCCAAATCCACTTGGTCCATGATCTTACTAAGAAACTTTAAATCATCCTCTATTTTAAATTCTTTTGTCTGTTATTTTAATTTTGTATGTTTGCTAATTCTTGTGACACTGATTGCTTGTTCCAGCCAAAATATTTTGTTTGATTACATTGGTTAAATAGGAATAATTTAGAACAACAAGTGCAAGTTAAAGTAAAGAAACACAGGGGAAGAATTATTTATATGCTTTGGCATGCAGAATCGCGGAAGCGCTTAGAAAATCACACATGGAATAAAATTAAGTACTAATTCTACTTGTCTCAAGGTTCATTTTAACAAGTCGAAATAACATTTAGTTATTTATAATTGACGTATCAATTTATTTTGCTAGTTCACGAGTTTCTTCAGTTCCTAGACCTTTGAAGTATTTAGTTGTTTAAAATAATTAGACAGGTCCTTGTCATTTTTAGATACCAATTGTCGGAATATTTCAGCTTAACTGGAACTCAGATATTTGTACTCAATTAGGCTTCACAGGTCATTTCTTATAATCTATTACTGGGTACACAAACTCGCAACCATGAGGAAGCGAGTTTAGTTTTGTTATATTTAGAAATTAGGTTGACAGCTTCTAAATGATTCTTCAAGTGTTTCCTTGTTCATGTGCAGTTATAATTATTAACATTTTATTGTTTCAGGTCGACATTTGGACGGCATTTGGCATACAGCGATCGTCGCCTACGGACGTGAATATTTCTTCGGGCCATCTGGAATACAAAGTATTCGACCAGTAAGCATTTAATCAATGACTAATTATTTATTTATTTTCTCAATCTGTTAGCGGGAGAGCTATCACTTCTTTTCTTTATGATTAATGATTATGACTCTTATTATGATTAGACTTGACTAAAAAATAAAAGTAGCGATGAAACCCCAGTAGCCATACGATACGATCTTGTTCTGAGACGTGGACTAAATTTGGTGCGAGCGCTTCCAAAAATAATTTTACCCAACTCGAGCTTCTCTCCCGCGGCCTCTCTCTCTCACGTCCCATACGCTTCCTGGTCACAACTCCTAGCGAGCGAATCACGCCGGTAAGTTCCGCGTACCGTGTCTTATCTTTACACCCGTGTTTCTTTATTTTAAACTGAATATTCACCACCAATCCGCCATCTTTCCTGTTTAATATTTTGTGATTTTCCTGTTATCACTAATGCTTTCAAAAATAGTTTCTTTAAAATTTCACTCGCTTACTAATTACTGAAATCTATAAACTGTTAGTGATTGTGTCAGTGTAATTTCATAAAATTTAAATTTATATGTTAGTTATTATATTTTTATTTACTTATTATTACTTAAATTGTTGAAACAAATCACAAGCGCGAGTTTATTTTTAGTTATAGTTACTGTTGCGTTAGAGTCCGCTCCAAAATTAAAAATTTTATTAATAGAAAAATGTGTTTACGTAAAATAGAATAAAATAAACTAAAAGTTTCAAGTACAATTATTTATTTATTTATTTATTTTAAATTACAGGGAGGAACTGTTCTTGGTGAACCTCAACGAGTGGAAAAATTAGGCGATACATTTCTACCTTACTCGGTATTTTTGGAGTACATTAACGGATTGGGAACATCAAAATTCGCGTGAGTAATTGGTACTTTAATAACTTTTATTTTTGTTTATAACTTATTACTATTAATCTAATAAAAGATGATGATATTATAATATAAAATAAATTCGCTTACACATTGCTTACACATACGATGTCTTTGGCACAGGGCCGGCACGTATCATCTTCTCAGACTCAACTGCAACAATTTCTCTGACGAGGTGAGCAGCTTCCTGGTGGGCAGCGGTATTCCAAAATACATTCTCGACTTACCTGAAGAAATAATCAAGACGTGAGTGTCATCGCGGGAGAAAATAAAAAAAAATAGTAACAAGAGAGTCATACTTATTAATAGTTAAACAACTTGACACAACTTGTCTCATGCAGGCCCATAGGACAGGCACTAGCACCACTGATAGAAACCCTCGCAAACAGTGCGAGCGCCGGATTCACAGTCGGGCACAGATTCGTCGAGCCAAGGATTCAACGTGAGGTTTCACCAGAGTATCAGCTTCTTAACACTGCGATCGAGGAAGCACGGCTCAATTCAATAGCTTTGGAGGAGAGGCGAAACGTGCTGAACGAGAAACTTGCTAAGAAGGAGCGGAAAAAGAAAAAGAAGAAGAAGGAGAAACACGATAAATCCAAAGGAAGTGGTAGTGAGAGTAACAGTACAGGACCTAGTAATTATTCTACAATGGCAGATAGTGAAGGTTAATTTATTAATTTATAATAATAATAATAATAATTATTATTATTATTAATATTATTTGTGCTTAATTGTTTTATATTAAGTTATTAATTGTGATGTTTTAGTAGCGGAAATGCAACCAACAAACGGCGACATGGGCGCAGAAATGTTGCCCTCTGATCGAGTTCTTCAGATGGAAGCTGATGAAAGACGCGAACTTGAGGAAAGAAAACGTCAGAGAGATCCTCCAATTGTGTTCAAGGAGTTAACAGATCTTGCAGCTGAATTCGACGATCTTTGTCGCTTACTCGAGGGAAAGCTCAATGAAACCGAGATAACAAATCTTGATGAGCTGCGCCAGTATGCATTAGAAAATGAAGGGTCTTGGGCATTGGGTGATAACTTTTTAAATTTCATCGGTCAGTTTTAGTTTTTATTATTATTTTTTTTTAATTATGAAGATGAATATTTATTGTGGAAATTTAATTTAACAGGGCGAATTTTGTACGACAAATCTTTGGACACTGCAGCGAAAGTTAAGCTACTGAATATTCTTGCAATCGCTGCGTTAAAAGATGACGTGATTTTGTTATTACATCAAGATAGAAGGGAACATACGATAATGAATTATGCTTTTGACATTGACCGTCATCCAATTGAAGAACAACTTCCGTTAGCACAATTTGTAAGTTTAATATCCAATTTTACAAGATAAAACATTACAATTTAATATTTTTAAATTAAATTTTATAACTGCTTGTTTTTTTATTTTTTTCAGATCACTAACATGTTTGAAAATTTAAGTAGCTCAGAGTGGTTACTGTACATCTCAGAATGGCAGTACAACAATCAAGGTATCAGTAATATCAGAGTGACGACAAAGGTAGCAGTACACTCACTATTATCAGAGTCGGTAGATCTTCAAGCCTGTGGCGCGGCGATTATTCACAACCTTGCTTGCAAGGAGGTAAAAACTGTGGTCTGTATCCTTCTCGCTTTGTGTAATTGATGTTAAAAAAATATTTATTTAGTAAATGAGTCAATTATCGTAACCCATTATAACGCCTAAATCCGCTGATAACTGTCACATTGACTAATTTCTCTTTAAATAGAAGTGCTGCCTTTCATAAAAAAATCAATCTTAAATAAACAAGCAAACAACACATCTGAAATTAAAAAAACTATTATTGTTACCATATATTAATAATATGAATGATTAACTTTCATTATGCATTTATTTATTAAAAAAAAAAAAATAAACAAACAAATTATTTTTGTCGCTAAATGTTAAATTGCTTATCGGTGACAAGTTTAAAAGTCAATTTGTCTGTAGGGTCTGTGGATATTTTTTCAGAAAATGAACAAAAACAAAAAGCTACGGCAACTTTTACCGAAAGGCAGCAGTTCTAAGGTATTTTTATTCTCCAATCAGTTATTAAATTCTTTATTAATGTTTAAATAAGGTAATTTGTTTGTTATTTTTTTTTTTTTTAATCAGATTGTTCTAAAGGTTATATTATAGATCTTTTAATTAAATATTTATTTTAGTTTTATTTTGTTAACATAATACAATATTGTTACTCAAGTGTTTGTCAACATTATCAAATATTTAATGGTTATTATAATTTTTTAAATTATTTTTTTCATTATTTCAGGTGTTTGATGATGTTGCTGTAGAATTGACAATGGCATTACTCCAGTACTTCAACGGTAACCCATCGGAGGAACACTTGTATGCTTGCATGAAAGCCTTAGCACGCTTTACTCAAATCAGCGGTCATGAAGTACCTCAGCTCATTCAAATGATAGGTCCAGAGCCCAATAAATTTCGCGGAACATCACGAAGGATCGACGAAATGATCGACGAAGTCAATAAGAAGCTGCGTTAATTTTATTTATTCGCTTTAAATAATTGCGTGAGATATTTTTTTTCGAAGTATTTCCGTTATAATAATTATTATTATCACCGATTATTGATATCAAAACTCTGATAATAATTTTTATTTGTTGTCTTACATTTTTTTATACTTAATATTGATCTTTTTAGATAATTCAATCAAATAATATTTTTATTTGGGTTTATTCAGAAGTGCAATCTGCTGTCGGAAATTTTAATTGCAGAATATAGAAAAAAATGCATTTGATATCTAATTAGGTTTACTTAAATAAATTAATACTAATTTTAATAAAGCTGATTGAAAAAAAAAAATCAGTAATGACAAATTATGTATACTAATGACTACTATTAAATTGTTTATAAAAGTATGTGAATAGCTGTTAAGTGATTGTCAGATATAAATATTAATTATAGTTTAAATAAATATAAATAATCTATAAATCGTTAATGATTATCATAACGTGTTCATCTTACTCGCCTATATAGGAAAGTGTTACTTTGATCCGCGAATAAGTACGTTAGATGAATAAAGTGTTAGCTGTAATACCCACACGATTAGTTGTTAAATTGTGCTAGTTCCTCTCCTCGACTTAACTCTGAACATTGAAATTGTAGTCAAGGTTTTTATTCACTCGTTTATTCTCAAATCACTTCTTATCTACTTCATCTCTTGTTTATGACGCCAGGCAAAAAATCTCATTAAACAAGATAAATAGTGTGATTATGCTTAAATATATAAATTTTTAATGAAAGTCAAATGAAAAAAAGGCAATATGAGTTTTGCCAGAACAATGAAGCTGATAATTAGTTAGTGCACCTCCTGTGATACTGGTGATAGATGATACTCGCGCATTAACCAAACACCTATCAGTAAGTTCACCTTTTTTTTTTATTTGAGAATTATCAAATCGACGATCACTTTCACTATGCACTGAGAGAAAAAATTTATTTTGAAAAAAATTAGCAATTTTGTAATAAGAAATTAATTTATTAAAAATTTTATTTTTTAACTGAAGAAATAAAAATTTTTCTCTTAGTAATTTTCTTGTTGAAAAAAAGTTTTCTAGATTTGGGAAAAATTAAGTTTTAACGAAAATTCGCAAGTTGTCTATCTCAAATTGTTTTTTTTTTTTTCCAAACCTAGAAAACTTTTTTTCAACAAGAAAGTTACAATGAGAAAAATTTTTATTTCTTCAGCTAAGAAATAAAACTGTAGAAAATTTTTAACAAATTAATGTCTTATTACAACATTGCTCATATTTTTCAATAGAACTTTTTTCTCTCAATGGATAATTAATATTTTTATAACTTTTAATAAAATTTATGTACAGTGACTTCTAAAGATATAAACGAACGAGTATTAGATGTAGAATTGAACTGCCCGAAGCAACAATCAAAATTAAAACGTTTTATTCACCGGCACATTCCTGTAACACGATGGTTACCAAATTACTCCCGATATTATGGTGTTTCCGATTTTATCGCTGGTATAACTTTGGGGCTGACGATGATACCACAAAGTATTGCGTACGCTGCACTTGCTGGCTTAACTCCACAGGTATTTCATTCATTTAAATATTTTAATATAACAATAGATAATATAATAATATTCTAAAAATAGACTACCCGGTGATATCTTGATTGAAATATTTACAGTACGGATTATACTCGTCATTTTTGGGTGGCTTTATCTATCTTATCTTCGGAACTATCAAAGAAGTGTCTATTGGCGCAACATCGCTGATGTCTCTTGTCACTGTTGAATACACGCGAGACATGCCCGTTGACTTGGTTATCCTTTTATGCTTTTTAGCAGGATGTACTGAGTTATTAATGGGACTTATGAATCTAGGTGGTATTTTTAATTCAAATCCACTGAAATAAAAAATTTATTCTATAGATTATTTTATAATAAATAGGATTTTTGGTCGATTTTATTTCAATGTCTGTAACTAGTGGATTTACAAGCGCAACTTCGATCATCATAATTATGTCCCAATTACCCGGTCTCTTGGGTCTGAGATTCAAATGCGAAAATCTTACAGAAGGAATCAAAAAGTTGTATCAAAATTGGAGAAAAATACGGCTTAATGATTCAGTACTAGGAATTTCGTGCATTATTTTTCTGCTAGCATTTCGAGTAAGTGAATAATTGATCAAATCCAATTAATTAATTATGCGCTCTTAGTTAAATAATGGATGTAATTTTTTATTTAATTGCAGAAATTAAAAGACATTGATTGTTCTAAAATTAAGAGTAGAAACAAATCGTGGGGTCAATTAATACAGAAGACCTTGTGGTTCCTGTCGATATCGCGGAACGCAATAACTGTCTGTATAGCTTCTTTTATTACATACAATCATTATCATAATGGAAGTTCAATATTTATAACATCAGGTTCTGTTACTCCTGGTCTTCCATCATTCAATCCTCCTCCTTTTTCTTCTCAAGTTGGAAATGTGACGTACAACTTTTTAGGCATGTGCTCCCATTTAGGCAGCGGAATCATCATGGTACCCTTGGTCGCTGTTTTGACAAATGTTGCTATTGCCAAAGCGTACGGTAAGTTTTTAATAAAATAATTCACCAAGAAATTAAACGGTATTAAAAGCGTATTAGGTTGGTTTTAGTACGCGATGGAACAGTAGAAGCGACCCAAGAAATGCTGACTCTAGGTGTTTGTAATATTGCTGGCTCTTTTTTTTCATCAATGCCAACTTGTGGTGCATTTACTCGAAGTGCAGTCGGAAGTGCCAGTGGTATCCAGACACCCATGGCTGGACTCTATTCTGGAATAATGACTCTGCTTGCTTTGAGCTTTCTTACTCCTTATTTTAGTTTTATACCCAAAGCTTCTCTTTCTGCGGTACTTATTAGCGCAGTTGTATTTTTAATTGATCTGAAAGTATTTAGAATATTATGGAATGGCAGTAGTAAGTAAAAATTAAAAAAAAAAATCATCATCTTATTTTTTTTCTTCAATTAATTGATACCTTTTATAGAGAGAGATATGATTACTGCGGGTAGTACTTTTTTAATAAGTATTTTTATAAATGTTGAATCTGGTCTTTTGTTTGGCACGTTAATTAATGCGTCATTTTTACTATATTTGTCGGCAAGACCATCTATCACCATTGATAAATGCAAGGTAGTATACCAATACAAAAACAATATTTACTTTTTATACATTGACAATTAAATAATAATTATAAACAATCTTCAGACTGTTTATGGACTTGAATATGTCATAGTTAAACCAGAAATCGGGCTATTTTATCCAGCAATATCATACCTGACGAATAAAATAAGTCGAATTGCTCGCAAAGAAGCTAAAGGTATTTATCCCGTAGTTGTCGACTTTGATCGACTTCAGGGAATCGATTACACCGCGGCAAAGGGGATACAAGGCATACTGTCTGATTTCGAGGGGAAATCTCAACCATTGATATTCTTAAATGTCAATCCAAATGTCGTATCTTCCATCATACGTCTCAGCGGCATGAAAAATTTCAATGCAGTTTGTAATGAAGACGATCTCATTGACACGCTTAAGAGTAAGTTTCTTCAATAATTTCTCCGTTATTTTTTTATAATAAAAAATTTTAATTGCAGATTTAGAGATAACTGAAAAAATTTACAAAGCTCAAGATCTATCTTTCAAAGAATTATTGAATAAATCTAGCGATTTCACTAGTCAGAAAGAAAATACGAAACAATCAGTACTCACTGAACAAGAATCTCTATTAGCAAGTGATAAACCAAGTGAATTGAAATCTACTGATTGTTGATAATTTTAATTGTTATCTCTGTAAAAAAATAATAAATGTTAAATTTATTTATTTAAAAATTTCTTATTCATAATATATAGTGTGCTTTTCAAACCATGATACCAAAGTTAGCTGACAGCTGTCAATTTTTTTAATTTTTATAACAGATCAATTACAATAAAAAATTGCCTTCAAAAATTTCCACTTGTATTTTTTTTTTCAATTTTCACATGTGGAAATTTTTTATTAAATGTTTGTTCATAGTAATTTCATTGTTATAAAATTCTAACAAAATTTCTAATGTCAGTTAATTTTTCAGTGTCTTTTTCAAACCTACAATTTTATCTCATCGTTATTTTACTCCATATTTAGTGTAGTTTTTTTTTTATATTCACAGGAAAAATATATTTTTTGTCTCTTTTTATTTTTTCTCTCCTTTAGATAAACGCGCGCATGTCTGTGCCGGTTTTAGCGGTTATGAATTCACAATGGTGTCTTTGCGGTTGAAAATATTTTACAAAATATTTATTCATTAACATTAAAATATTTCACCTAATTTCATAAATAATTAAATACACATATCGTGTATATTATAATTGATAAACATAATAATTAAAATATGTGGTAAAGTTTTAATGCATCAATAATGGCTCTCGATATTCGTCACTTATGTATACAAAAATTACAAATTAATTATTCATTAGATATACAATTCTATTCCAAAGAATTACCGTCATTAAATTATGAAAATCTTATTTCTCTGGCACGCGAAAGGATTAAAGGTAATTAGTCAATGATTAATTATAATTGACATTGTCTGCAATAATTTCATCATTTTCAGTTTTTTATTTACAGTCCTTAAAATAATCACAACGGTTACGAGACTTGCTACTCCTGGCAAAAGTGATGAATATATAAGGAGTCTTGTAATAGAAAGGTTGAATAATATCCGAAGCTATGATTACGTAACTTCATAAGACAGCAAAGAATACCGAACAAGTTCTAATCAAGATATTCAGAGTAGATTGATCGATCATGCATCATTTATAATGTTATCACTATCAGTAATTTCTACTCGTCGTCATTTCAAATATTTCTAGTAGATTGAAGAGCAATTATGTAAACCGCGAATCTCTGCGCTAGATCATCATGTTATAAATTTGTTAATAATAATAATTATGTATTTTCTATTTTTTTAGATTGATGAGTGAAAAACAAGAGCTTAAACCACAGCTGATTAAATATCTACAAAATCCCAAAAGTATAAATGAAGTTTACTTCACTGAAGGAATAGCTTTTATACCTTTTTATAAGATGAAACAAGTTTTGTGTACTTAGTTTCGGCATAGTCTATAAAAACAAACGGTAAATCAAATTATTAATATAAACATAACATACCAGTTGAATCAGTTTATTAATTGTTTCCCTATATTTTAATTTATTTATAAATTTTTTTGAATATTGAATCTTTAAAAAGCTTGAAAAATCTTTGTGAAAAATTTCAACTTTTATACAAATGAAGCAGTCAGAATTAAGTGATAGTGGAATAACTGTTAAAGATATTGAATACTAATTAATTTAATAAATAACTTATTTTATTTATAACTAATAATTAATTTTTAATTTTTTCTAGTTATCTGAAACTACATTCCCGCCTTGTATATGAATTACATTTACTGTCATTGTTGAAGTTATTTATCGACGAATTCACTCAGAGGATGGACGTTGAGTCATTTGAAAAAAAGTACGAGTATTACATAGAGCATGCTTATGGGTTGAGAAGAAATAGCAGAGACTGGGATCCTAAAGACTGTCAAAAGATTCAAAACGTACCTACGTTAGCGGGAAACTGCAATGACTGCCTTTTACAAATCACTCATATCACTGACATTGAGGATCTTGACAATATTCTGTCGCAGTGGAAAATTCCAAACTCAGGTATGCAAATAAATCTTATCAGTTTAAATCATGGGATTAATTACTCTAATTTTTATGACTTAATGTAAATTTGTTTTGTAGATAAGTGTGATATCATAGAAAAGTTTAAGAATGGAAACTCTGGTGCTGCGTGTGCTCACTATTTTCATGTGATAAATTCATTTAGAATGAAAGCAATTATTCAACATATCAATGATTTTTTTAATCGTAGTCGTTATGCTCAGAGTTATTGTCGATAAAAATTTCCTGATGAAGATGAACAAAGAATTTCTGATTTTTCTCGCTCTGATATATCTACTGGGATAGCAGAAAATACAACATATAATTCTGAAAATCTTGAAAAGGATGAAAGTGTTGATTTTAAAAATTCAACTGAAGATGAATTAACAGCTGATGTAGCTTCTGATATCAAAAAAAGAAAAGCCGATGTGGCTTTTTGTGATTGCGAAGTAAAAATATCTGATGGAAATAAAAAAGTTGGAACAAATTCAACAGATGGAATAGAAAGAATTAGAGTAGAGTTTATGGATAGTTAGCAATACAATTTCGTCTTAAACAACTTTACGTTCTATCAGAACTATCAATGAAATTTACAAAAAAGCAGGAAGTAAGTTTTATAAATACAAAAGTTTAACTGGGTGTTTTCAATTTCGTTTATTTTTCAGTAGAAATGTTTGGCTAAAGAATTTAATCATATTATCTCTGTTGAAAATATCAAAACAGGCTTAATAATCAATATACTAACACAAAATGAGTGAATATTTATGTTTAGATATTTAAAATTTATCATTGATATTTAAGTAACATAAAGTTTTATCAAAACACTTGGTAATTTGATCAATAAAATTATCATTTCATTACTTCGATTGTATTACTTCGTCCAGGTATAAGATCTCCGACGGCTTTTAAAAAATTTCAGGTTTTCAGGCATAACTATCATTCTCATTTATATACATTTTTATTTTATTGTAAGTTTGTAATACACTGTTATTCAATTTAATTTAATTATAATAAAAATTTTGAAGTATTTAAATGTAAAGGCCAATTTTTCAATTCAAAATTAATTGATTATTTACATAAAAAATTTTTAATATTGAAAAATTGACCTAGTTATTTTAAAAAAAATTTTCCGAATATTCAACGATAAAAAAATAATTTTTTTGAATTTTCGCGGTACTGATGGTAGTTAACGTTGGAAGCGGTAGCGCTAGTAGTGATTTGCGCAGTAAAGAGAGATTAAATTTATAGTTGTCGTAATGGTGTTGTTGTAACGCGCCTTACTGTGGTAAACCCAGCAAACTCCGTGCCAAGCAATGGAGGCTCATTTACAATAAAATTCCATGGTTAGAACGTAAATTTGTTTTTGAGCGTGTTTTAAAGTTTAATTATTGTGTGATAGTGAAAATTTTCTCTTCTGTGAACAATCTTCGATACATTAGCATAGGTGAGTGATTATTTTTAAAAAAATGAGTATCTAACGATTAATTTAGCTCGACATTCTTCACTAGGTGCCTCTTATGTGAAAAAAATATAAATATAACCTAAGTATGTAAGCTTAGCGCGCCTCAAAAATTGGAGATCACACTAAAAATTACATTATCTCAAGTTATTTATTCATCATATCCAAATATTAATCCCGAGAATTATTTGAAGAAGAAAAATAATTTTATCACAATTTATCATTATTTCAAAATCGATTACACGGTATAATTCTAATACCGAGCCGTACAGCTGCCATATTGCCAGCCGAGTTATTTATTTTTTATCAATTTTTTTTTTTTTTTTTTTTTATAAACTTGTTTTTTTTTATTGCTCGACTATTTTACAAGCCAGTGGTTCAGTTATTTATATTTTGTTGTTATTATTTATAAATAATATTATCAAGATCATATTTATTTATTTAATTGTAATGTGAGTCGCCCAAAAAATCGTAACGGCAATCTGTGGCGATGCCAAAAATGGATACGCCACAAGTAACTAGATAACTTAAATACACTTAACGTTATATATGTTTGTGAAATAATATATATTAAATACACATATATACATAATATATCATATTAAATATAACATATACATTTAATGAGAAACAAAAATTATTGAACGGTATCTTAGGTCGCCGCTCCAATAACTGTAAATATTATTTTATTAATTAAAATTCTCATTTAATTAACAACGTTTAATTTTTTCAGGTTGATAATTATATTAAAAAAATTAAATTATTAAAAATACAACTATACTAAGTAATAAATTTATAGAAGTTGGTACCGGCTTGAAATTCGAATTATTTTATTCGAATTAGAATAAACTTGCGATTATTTTGCACAGTATCCGATATACTTAAGACTTTAAGAGCATACTCTGTGGGAGTGTCTCTGGAATGTGGTCACACTGCTTGCGTTTAGTTTTCTTTGCTTGTGGTCATCTCGCAAAATCGTTTTCTCTTCCTCTTCATCCTATTTCAATAATAACAACAACAACAACAACAACAACAAAAACAACAATAATAATTAAAGTAATAATTATAAATTGTTTCAGAATATAATCCGATGAAAAATACTCAATATAAAATAAATATAAAATCTGACCATCAAATGATTACTTGAATAAAAAATAATAACAATAAAAAATAAAGGTATGTAAATATATGTAAAGTAATGAATTAATAATTAAAATAAAACTAGCAATGGGCGATAGGAAGTAAATCAGTATTGCTCTTTGTTTAATATAAAGAGAGGACATGTACTGTTAGTTATAAAGAGCAACTGCCGTGTGTACTGAGTACTGCAGAGAATACATACACTTTTAGCGGTGTAGCCCTCGGGGCCTAGTACTAGCATAGAGCTGGATGATGTATGCTATACATATTACACTGTATTGCTATATATACAGTAGAGTTGCGGTTGTTCTGCTCGATGTGGTGCTCCAACATCATATAATATCAGAACAGGACGGGTTCGCGTCAAGCTCTTACGAATCTTCCGTCAACTTATTACATTACATTAAATTGTATGTACATGATCATATAACACGATATTGTGTTAACTTCTATTCAATGTATCTGATTTATAATGCTAATTTAAATTTGTAGTCAAGTCCAGAATGCGGCCATGACGTAGCCGCCACTTTGAGAGAAGTGTACAGAAAAAAAATAAAGAGAGAGAAGAGATTAAATCAAGAGACAGGGACAGGCATGTAGTCTACATGTACATAAACATGTACGCGGTTTCGTAATAAATATATACCGGGATAAAATAGCCAGGGGGGAGAGGGTCGACCTTGCCCCGCAACTGGCTGACTGCTTGTTGCCAAGCTACGCTGTATATATAGCACTCTGTACAAACGCATACACACCAATCAGGGGGATATGTATACAACCAACTGTACGTATGTACTGAATGCACTAGCCAACACTTATATAGGTGGATATATAAACATATACATTTAAACATGTGTTTGTTGTAAATCAAAAAATTAAAACTAAAACATTTAGTCCTCTAGGTAATGGAACATACTCGTTAATTTTATTTAAAATGTATAGTAACTTTTTTTTTTTTTTTATGGATTAAATAATTTATGCATGTATGTATGTATGTATGTTTTAGCTTAACTTCTTTGGTTCTTTATCAGCGTACCGTGGCTAAAAATTAATGTCGCGATCTATGTTTTCGCTCATCAAGACTTGTGTGAGCTCTACTTCCTCAACCACGGGCTCTCGTTGCGTAATACTCTGCAGGCGTGTGTGTTGATGCATTAGCTACGAGAACGAATAGGAGCGAGCGAGCGAACCAGAGAGATAAATAGTCTGTAAAATAAAAAAGAAAAAAAGAGCTAAAAAATAACCGAGGTAAAGTGCTCTCGTTCTCACGGCTTATAGTGTTACATTACATACATACGTATGTACATAATACATGTATATTAATCTAATGGGTTTCTTCCATCTCTGTATGATTGATATGTAGCGAGTATGAACTGTGTAATGATAATGACGAATCGACACCTACGTACAATTGAAAATTAGCAAGGTGAGACCCAACTACTTGCTAATTGTTAGAGTCTGATAAAAAAAAAAGGCTGATAATCACGAGACACTTACGTATCTTTTTTCGACAAGTCAAGTCAAATACGACAAATTAGCATGATATTAAATTAAACCATATGGCAATTTTGCAATAGTATTAATTATGTACCATGTACTGCTGAGCCGAAGCTTGAATTGATAAGTGGACAATGTGGAAGGATATTGTACGAAATTAAAAATTAAATGAGCATAATAATGGATGTAGGATATTTTTAATAATTCTACATTGTACGGTGAGGGAGGACATGTAACGAGTGCACTTGGTTAAGTCGCGAATAATACGCCGCAATCGACACTGTGGCCATGGCACGCGGTGGAGAGGAGATTGTCTTCCGTTCTCCGTGCTCCGTACATAATAGTTGCGCAGAGCGTTACAATTTTGTCTGCGCAAACGTCTTGGACACCATTTTATTTTATTTTTTACCATTACTTTATTTCTTTCTTTTACTATTTCTTCTTTATCGCCACCATCATTATTATTATCATCATCATCATTGCTATCTTCTCTCTCTGTTAAATTTAAAATTTTAGTCTGTAAATAAAATCGGAGCGTAACGGTACAAAGCGTGAACTGTAAATAAATCACTGGAAAATAAAGTAAGAAATGTATACAAAATGAAATAAAAAATAAAAAATTAAGAAATAAAGAAAGAAAGAAAACAAAGAATGAATAGAATTGTCGGGGAGCTGAGTATATAGAGTATAGATTGCTTTAGCTATGCTCTATTTTACTATGGAAAAAGGATGGAGAAAAGAAAGGTAGATAGAATCGAAGCTTGGTAGAATAGAAGGGCAGACGCGCGCCAGAGGGAACAGCGCTACCGGAGTTGGCCAAGTAGACCTCACCGTCCCACCGTTCTATACGACATACGTATGTATCTGATCAATAATTTCCGATACTGCTGCGAGGCTTTCGAAAACCAGTGTCACTACGACGCTTCCATTTCACTAAAACCGATGACAATATAACTCCGTCTTTAGACAATTATATATATACATACATATTTAAACAAAACGAAAATAAATATTATAATTGTGATTATTATTTAACAATCAATCAGGTGGAATAAATTATTTAATCTAATATGATTGCTCAGTAAATATTTTTCTTTAAAAAGTTCAAACAGATAAAGACTGTCTTTGTATTTACAGATATGAAGAAGTAAGGAGTAAGATCGATAGAGGTATTGCTATTGATGCAAATTTCCCGCGCGAATATTATTGTACCGAGGTGGTATGCGCAGTTGAATCTAATCCGGGCTAGCTAGCTAGCTCAACTCATCGAATGCGAAGAGCAGAGGAATAGTTGGAGATAATGCAATTTTATGTGATTTTACGATCCCTTGAAGGACAAGGAGATATATTGATGATAGAAGTGGGGAATAGAGGTATAAAATGTATAGAACTGCTGGTGCTGCTGCTGGTAAATAGGCGATGGAGGAGGAAGCGGTGAAAAGAATCGAGTCACAACGTGCGCGTGAGCGTTAACTCCATATTATACTCCATACTGTGAAGATACAGAGTTTAGTAGTCATGTTAGTACTACTCTATACTCTGTAGTTAAAATGTATGTGTACATATGTATAAATAGAAGAAGAAGAAGTACATATTGTATGTACACCTAAGATATAGGTGTGTATGTAAGTAAGCTAGTACATATCGTATGTACGGTGCAAGTACTTATCGCTTAGTCAGAGGAAGGTAGGGACAGAGAGTAGGGAAGTGTCTACGTCACGATGATTGGTTGGGAGAAGAGAATGATGATCAGCGCCGCGACGCGGCAGTGAGTGGCACCTATAGTGGCTCGTCGTGAATGGAGTACGTCTATCCATACGAACGTGAACGTGGCCTCGCGCCGCACACAAGTCGCTCCCGTAGTCAAGCTTCACGGGAGGAGGATCGTTCACAAGAATAGCCACGTTAGCGCGAGTACAATTTGCTATTCCGCGAACAAAACAGCTCCGTGTTGTAAACTGTCTGTTTCTTCGGGGCCCGAAGCGTAAGTTTTAATTTACATTTACAACAACTTGTTACATATATCATATATTATATGTATGTGAGTGTATTGTAATATATATATTATTTAAATCCCTTCTTAAAATCATGGTATTGTTATTGTTATTTACAAGGTGGAGCTTCTTCAGACGGTTGGTTTTACTCAAGCTGGGTTAATTGTATTTTAATGGATGGAATGGAATAACCGTGGTATATAGAGAAATTTTATTGAAATAATGCCGCGTGTGTTGTGGTGGAGCAGTGTTGTGTTAATTGTTTAAATTAGCAAGTTAAAATTGTTATCTAACTTTTTTTTTTTTATATATATATATATATATATATATATATATCTATTTATATTTATATTTATTGGATCGGATTGAATTGGATTTTAAAAAAATCTACCAACACCCATGGACATGGAGTCGCGACAGCTCATTATATTTAATCATTATCTGTTTTATTGGTTTTTATAAATTACCGAGATACGGTATCTGGTATTTAAGAAAAAAGTTTATAATTAAAAATAACAAAGTATATATAATGATCAAAATATATAAATATATATACTATGTATATAATGCTGGTCGTGTTGTGTGATATAATCGGTGTAAAACTAAACAACACATACTCCATTCGCGATCCTTTCGTTTCCGAGTTGGAGTCGATTGGATTGGAGTTCCCCATGGTCTTGTGCTTTTGCGTCTCTCTCAGAATTGCTGGCTGACCTTTCGAAATATATAAACGTAGTTGGTTGGGTTTTGTAGAGGGAATGAAGGGGCCAGTAGAGTAAAGTATAGTCGAGTACCGCGAGGAATTTATTTTCACTATAATGGGTGCATGTCTGTGTCTGTATTCGACATAATAATAATAATAATAATAATAATTAATAATAAAAATATTCAGTGGAATATAACCATTCAATGTTATTTATCAGTTAAATGTAATTTATTGGCTATTTTTTAAAATGTACGTGTATTTGTCACTCGATAAACACAATATACATATATGTATATGTATGTGATATACATTTGATATAATAGGTAAAGAAAATAATTATAACATGTGGCTAATAATTCTCTACTGTGTTTTATAGTTTTTTAGATCGATATACTCGCGAATGCAGAGACATGTTTTTTTTATTATTGTTATTATTTTTTTCCTTTCTTTTAAAGATTATCCCAAGTAATTACTGACTGCATCTATAAGTTGTTTGAACATACTTTCGTCTTGCGTCGTGGAAATAGTGTCAAAGAGTTTTAGTTGTTTTCCAACGATTATTTTGTTCATGCTTCGCGGTGCGGAGTATACTACTACAACTACTACAACTACTACTACTACTACTACTACTACTACTAAATTACTACGACCACTAACACTGCTATTACTACTACTTTTATTCACAGTATGGAGTACTAATACATGAATAGTTAAAGATACCTATCTTATCTTAAAGTCTTCCCTGAATTATCTAAGCCTTTCCCTAACGCCACTGAAAACGTATGTAAGAAGAAGAATAAGAGTAGGGGGTCGTGTCGCGAAGAAAAAGATTTACGACCAGGTCAATATTCGCGATTTCTCTCTATTTGTAATCGATAGATAAAAAATAAATAATACTAAAACATATTGTAGTTTTAAAGTAAATATTTAATGATTATTAATTAAAAATAATTTATTTTTTTGTTGATAACAGATCCCTATTGGCATGGAGCTAGGAGCGCACTGATAGTGATAGTCTATGAGATCTTGGTTTCTATGCATTGCCTGCCAAAGAAGAACTGAGCCCAATGTTTCCACACAATTCTAGTTCACATGAGATTTCTACTAAAACAAATGCCTTCGTACAAAATTCCAAGGTACATATTTGATTAAATGATAAATACAAGTGAAAGATAGATTTCATAAGAGCACTTACCAACAAGTTGGTTAGTTACATTAACAAGTGCAATTTTAATTAGTTTTTATATTGTTATTATTATGACTAATGTGTATTTTTTTTTGTTCTTGTTACTTCTAGGGGGATGTAGTAGTATTAGAGGAAAGCAGTCTGAGTGGGGCGCGGGAAGGGGAACGACCAGAGCATGCTAGGTACTGTGATATCAAATTCATAAACAGCAGCATGATGGCAGCACCTACCAGCCACCCCAAAGCTACCGTCGCCAATGACTTCATAACCGTCCTGCCACGCCAATCTGGTAAGTTGTTAATTTATTTATTTGTTTGTTTATTTATTACCGGTTGTATTAGTTGATTTAAAAGATGGTGAGATGGAGTAATCGTGTCAAGCTATGATAATTTAAACGTAGTCATAGCAGGCCGCGATAACGCTTAGTATTACTGGGAACCCAACCAGACAGTAGTCTAGAGCTCTGATTGATTTTTTTTCAGGTGAGCTCAGCTTTGCCGTTGGAGGTGAGGCCTGCCAGTCAGTGGCTACAGAAACCACAAAAAATCCAACAAATAACCTTCTAACCTACGATAATAATAATATTAATATTAATAATAATAATAATAATAATAATAACGATAATATTAATAATAATATTAATAATCACAACAATGCAGAACATAATCATCACAAGTACAGAAAGCAAAACACACCGGGCTCGCTTGGTCAGCTAGGCAGCTCCGCTGATCAGTCTAATTTTACGTGTAAACCGTTAAGTGATAATAAGGATAGCTTTAGTGATATAAGCATTAGGGTACTAAAGTTAAGTCTATATATAATTAATAGAATGTACGATGCGCGGCGTACCGCTGGGGTACCTAGCCTAGTTAGGATACCCAAGTCTGATCGCCCCCAGCGAGAATCGCGTTTCGTTAATATTGTCGACAATTACTTCTTACTAGGGTCCCGCCTTAATCAGGGCGACAACAATAACTTTAAGGCTAATCTTAGTCTGATAAGTAATATTAATGATAATATTAATATTAATAATATTAATAATAATAATATTAATAATAATAACTCAAAGTCTGTGATATTGCTCAGCTCAACCAGTTACGGTGACTACTATCTATTTGTGGCCGGCGATTGGTTTGCTCGTAAAAATTATTATGACAATGACGATGACAAAAATGATGTCGATTATTGGTTTAAAATTATTTTTATTGACAACAATATTTGTTTTAATAATGGATTTAAAATTATTATGAAATTACTAGGCGATAAGTATTCCCTAGTTACCATTACTAATAACGGGGAGGCCGTTAAGTATGAGCAGCTAAGTCTGTCAAGCATCCAATTTGCTTTAAACAGCATCAACAAAAACTACAACAACCTCAAGACCGTCAACGATGATGATAAAAATAAAAACGAAGATTATAAAGATGTGCATTTTGACTGGATTGCTTCCTGGACACGTGCTCAGAATAAAACGGCGCCACAAAACGCCAGTTCTTCCATTACGCTTATCGTTTCCAAAAACGAAATCACCGACCACACTATTTTGCAATTTTTCCTGGATAATCTCATTATTAAATTACGAGCAATTATTAATAATAATACTACTACTACTACTACTACTACTACTACTACCACCACCACCGACACCATCACTGCTGCAACTCCTACTGCAACTATGATTTTTAACAAATTGTTTTGGCAAGTCACCGTAAATAAGCTGATGCAACGCATATGTGTTCCATTAATGATTAAGAATAGTAAGCGTTACGACAACAACGTTGGTAATAATTATTATTATAATTATAATTATGATTATTATTATTATTATAATATTGATGACAGTAGCTGTAATAATGGGAAAAAAGAGATAAATATTACTAACAATAATCCAGATGTTATCCAAGACATTGTTAACGTCGCTGTGTGCTACAAGACTAGCTGTGTAATGACTACTAATATTAGTATGTTAGGGTCTCAAAATGATGGTATTAATTGTACCGAAGCAACAATATTTACTGTTGGTGCTCTTTCATTTCAGGATAATTATAAGTCTAATAACAAGCCTCTAAATGATAGTTTTAAGGATAATAAGTATCAAGTGTCTGCTAAGGTTGGTCATGAATCTAACTATATTGTTAAGTCTGTATCTAAGTCTACGCCGAGCGATAAGTCTAGTGATAAGTCTGATACGTCTCATCAAGCTCGATTTGACAAACCTGACTATGACGACGATGATTATAACTACGTAAAGTATAAATGTGTTAGATCGGACGTCAACATTCCTACATTGACTACCTGCGAGCCTACGATGACGCTTAATAATAATAACCAATCATCAACCGTCACATCCAAAATAAACAGCGTACCTGTTTCTCGAGAAACCATAATCGAGAATTACTCGAACGATGATGATGATGCTGATGATTATTATAATGTTAATAATGATAACAATAATACCCTCGGTGTTGATGTTAATCCAACACCATTAACCACCGATCAACACTCTCAGCTGTCGTGTTCTACCGACTACTCCAATACTACTACTACTACTATCACTTCAACTACTACTGATATTTATCAAAACAACAATTACAATGATGAGAATGCAGAGTTTTATACTCGCAACTGGGCAAGACTGATCGCATATGTTCGAGCTCTCATTCCTGCTTACTTAGAGGCGTACAAAAACAACGAGAGCAAATGCGAAAGCCAACGTAATCAGCTCAAACAAGCTCTGCATTGTCTCTACGGAGAATCCTGTGCTGTTTCTTCGTATCAAGATACTCAATACGACCCAGTTATGGACTACAAGCGGAGATGGGGCATATCACCGATCCTGTTGCTCGCTGGTGGAGGCGAGAGCTCACTCAACAGTGGTACCGGCACCAACTGGGGATCTACACCCGCTACAACCCCCAATAACAACAACGCTAATCAAACTGGATGGGGAAGTACACCTGGAAACGCACCGCCGTCTTCAGCATCCTGGGGTAATAACAACGTTAATCGTGCTGTCACCGGTAATTCCAATCAAAATCAAAACCAAGGTCCACCTGTTAACCAAAACAACTCCGGTAACGCCAACAAAGTTAGCAATCCGAATCAAACAGCTAACTCGCAGACAGGACCTCCGGCATCCCAGCCATCTAATACAACTCCAGGTAACCAAAACAGTGGTCCTTGGCCTCAGGGAAAACCCACTAATCCAGTGGGTCCAGGTCCAAATCAGCCTGCGCCGAACAACAACGGAAATAATGTAGTAACACCACAGTCTACAAATGCCAATGCTAATAATAATCAAGTCAATAACACAACTCCAGGTACTGTTGCTACAACAGTCGCGTCTCCCACCAGTAATTCTTCAACAAAACAGCAGCTCGAACAACTTAACACCATGAGAGAAGCGCTTTTCAGTCAAGACGGCTGGGGCTGTCAACACGTTAACCAAGACATTAATTGGGACGTTCCAACTTCTCCAGAACCCGCCATATCTAAAGACGGCGTCCCAATGTGGAAGCCTCCTGTCAACAATGGAACCGATTTGTGGGACGCTAATCTTCGTAACGGTGGTCAACCACAACCGACTCAACAAGCTAAAACTCCCTGGGGACACACTCCATCGACAAACATAGGTGGAACTTGGGGTGAGGACGATGAATCTGCAGACTCGTCAAACATGTGGACTGGAGCTCCAACTCCCAGTCAACCAAACACTGCCCAGTGGCCTGGCACTAGCAGCAATCAAACAGGATCAAGTTGGGGAGATCCACGAATTGATCCCCGTGATCCTCGCGATATTCGTTCAGTAGATCCGCGTGAGATGCGCGATCCTCGCGACCATCGTATGTCCATCGACCCTCGCGACCACATTCGCGTGCTAGATCCCATGACTCGCGATCCACGAATGACTGACATGCGTGGAGATCCTCGCGGTATATCAGGACGTCTCAATGGAGCCAGCGCTGACGCAATGTGGGGCCAGCCTCCCGGACCGCCACATCACCAGATGAGTCACCAACACCCAACAGGTCCTCCTGCTAAAATGATCAATCCGTCTAGCATGAACCAATGGGCTGCTCCGCCGCCAAAAGAAATGATGCCTGGCAAACCATCCGGCTGGGAAGAACCTTCACCACCAAGCCAGCGGAGAAATGTTCCCAATTATGACGATGGTACCAGCTTGTGGGGTAATCCGGTATCAAACCAACGACCGATGCCCAACAGCAAGGTTTCTCACTGGAAAGACATACCTTCCAGTAATTTAGGACGTGGAGGAATGCAATGTCCACCTGGAATGCCACAAAACCGAATGCCAGGACAGCCTGGTATGAAACCTGACGTCGGAGGACCCATGTGGGGACATCCTGGCGGCCCAAGCGGTCGCAATGGCTCCTGGGGCGATGGCCCTCATGATACATCTAATTGGGACGATCCTAAAACACCTGCGTGGAATGAACCACCAATTAATCAACCCAACTGGGGCGGACCTTCTGCTCACAAACCAAAGTCTATGGGACCCAGTGGTACCTGGGGAGAAAGTGACATGGAGCCAACGCCAAATTGGGGCCATCCTACTAAGCCAACGCTTACCAAAGAAATTATTTGGAGCAGCCGAGAATTCCGTTATCTCTGCGACATGGGCTTTAAGGTAATTTATTTATTTTTTTCTCTGAAAATTCTTTAGACAAACATCGTTTATAATGAAAATTTTTATATTAATTTCAATGTGTTTAAATTTATAATTTATAGAAAGAAGATGTTGAAATAGCTTTGAGAAGCCGTGATATGAACAAAGACGAAGCTCAAGATATGTTGAGTCAGATTCGGTCTACAGAGCAGTGGCGTCGACACGAAGCCCCGTCAGGCTACGATTCCTCTAACCAAGCTAGCATGTCTTCAGTGTATCCCAAATTCAACCACGTCGCGCAACAAATGTCCTTCCAACCGGTAAGTTTTATTAATATCTATGTTCTTAAAGCTACGTGGTTCTTCTTATCAAGGGGAAATAATAATAACCCTCTGTCTCTGGTAAAGGATTGAATGTGAAAAAGCATTTTTTAATTTTTCTTTGATGAGTTGCGGTTAACACTAATATAACAAACGCAAGAGTGTCTATTTAAAAGTTTGAGTGCGTGGTTTTTAAATTAACTTTCAAATGGATAGCCCGGTAACTTATAATCAATAAAACTTTTTTAAATTGCTTGATTATTATTTTTGTATTAACAAAAAATTTTTTAGCATTAAAAGAGTTACTCACTTTGTATTGGCAGTGTAAAAATTTTTAGGTCATCCATTTAAAAGTTAAGAAAACAAATTTGTTTTACTTTTTTTTTTGCCTTGTATGAGGGTTGATTTAAAAAAAAAAAAAAAAAAAAAAATATTGGTACGGGTATTTTCATGGTTGTGGTATTTATCTGGTACAAGAACCTATTTAACGGATACAGCCAGTCAAGTCGACTTTAGTACAATAATTTGGCTTTTTATTTTTATTGATTTATTGTCATTTAATTTCTTTTCTATTTATAAATTTAAAAATTGCTGGCTATATTCGTTGAGTAAATATTAGAATCTAAAACTGCTAGGAAAGGGATTAGGGTACAGGGTATTGATATGTAACGCAGGGGGCTGGAGTGCCGAGCGGTGCGGCAACCGGCAGCGTAAGTGGTTCGGTGGCCAGTGCAAGCCTATTGAAGCTCCAACAGCAACAACAGCAGCAATCGGCAGTTCCACTGCAACAGCAGCCAAACGTCAATCCGCAGCAACCGCCTTTTAACCAGGTGAACTACCTGATTAATGGCAAATACACATACGTTACATCTTATTTATTTATTTTCTATAGCTTTAATTTTACCTACCAAAATTCTCCAATTATTTAGTTTTCATTTTTTTTTTTGTTACTATTTTTTTTTTGTTACTATTTTTTATTTGCATGATTGCTTTGTCTATTACAATAAGAAAGAAAAAAAGTTATTGATGCTTAAGGAAGTTCTTGCGAAATTTTTTCGACTTGTCGTAAGTAGAATTACGTAAATCAATACTCTGGATTTACAAAATCTTACGGCAATTACTGATTAAATATTAGCTTAATAATTTTGCACAGATTATTATTTTTATCTTCTATTGCACAATATTATCAAATAGCTTTTATATAAGTATCGATAAAATTGCAAATCATTATTATGATCATAATTAAATAACACAATTTATAATTTAAAGTTTTACGATGAAAATAATAAATAACAATGATTTTCAGGCATCGAGAATACCTCAGAATCCGCCAAGTACACAGCAACTACGTATGTTAGTTCAGCAAATCCAACTTGCCGTCCAAGAGGGTTATCTTAATCAACAGATCTTGAACCAACCGCTAGCACCGTCTACATTGATACTTCTAAATCAGCTGTTGCAACAAATAAAAGTACTTCAGCAGCTTCATCAGAAACACTCAGTTGAAAGCTCACTCAAAGGCAACAGTCAGATGGTTTTGCAAATAAGCGTCCAGATTACCAAAACAAAACAGCAAATTGCCAATCTTCAAAATCAAATAGCTGTGCAACAAGCAACTTACATGAAGCAACAACAGCAACAACAACAACAGCAGCATCAAACTGCTCCGTCTCAGTCATCAGATTACTACAAAACGCCAGTTCATGATGCGATGTCTGTGCTTCAGAACAGCTTTGGAGATTTGACTATGAATAAAGAGCCACCAGTGGTATGTACTTGTTTCATATTATTTTTTTTTTTTTTATATTTATTAGTCCCAGATGCATAGCTTGCTCGAGTAAGCTCATTGTATTTGTTTTAATTTATTCTACCTCGAGTAAAATCATACAACAATGATTTTTTTTATGAGAAATTTAATGCCTTGTCAAACAAGTATAAATATGATATACTTGTTTATAAGGATAAAAATATTTCTTTCTTTATTTTCTTTAGAAATAATATTTTTTTTTTTTTTTTTTTATTTTTTTTTTTTTTTTATAAAAACTTTAATCACAAATCATTATTATTTTTTTAGAGTCAACAGCAGTCACGATTGAATCAATGGAAGCTTCCATCTCTCGATAAAGACGATATAACTGGAAATGAATTTTCTCGTGCACCTGGCTCATCAAGTAAACCACCACCGACACCTGGTAGCTTGAGTCATTCCCACAGTAGTCCAAATATGAATCCACTGTTGGGCCAAAGCGATGGAACCTGGTCAACCAGATTGGGAGACAGTGGCTGGCCGGATGCCGGAAACAATGATGCAACAGATGGAAAAGATTGGCAACCGGGCGGTGCTGCATTTGCTGATCTTGTTCCCGAATTTGAGCCTGGCAAGCCATGGAAGGTAATCACATACCAGTATTGACATAATTTCTTAGTGTATACAAATATTTTAAAAATAGTATTTTTGTAATCATAGTAATAAACGATAAAATAATAATTTTTTTTTCGGATTTGCCTATATGATTCCTCTATTCTTTTTAGGGGACACAGATGAAGAATATTGAAGATGATCCTACAATTACTCCAGGCTCAGTAGGACGATCTTTATCTCTAGCTCCACTCAAAGATCCAGACACAATTTTCTCAACTAGCACAAAGACTTCACCACCACCTCAGCTACAAAATGTTGATACTTCCATTCCTAGTCTCAGTAATTCCACGTGGAGTTTCAATCCTCCTGCTACTACACCAAGTGCATTCTCTAGGTTTGTTTTAGCTGCTTAAAATATTTAATTTAAGCTTATTAATTAATTAAATTCATTCTGTTTATGTTTTTATTTCCAGCTCTAAAAATACTTGGACAGACTCCGCGCCACCACCAACAGCAGTTACCTCAGAGCTTTGGGGTGCTCCAATGAACAAAGCCCGTCAGGGACCACCACCTGGATTAAGTAGCAAAGGTACTACCAGCAATGCCAGCAATGGTTGGGCTGGACTCGGTGGAGTTAGCAGATCATCCAGTTCCTGGGGAATTCACTCATCTGGCGGAGGCATTAACAGTGCCAATGCTGCTGGTTGGCTTATGTCCGGCACATGGCTTTTATTGAAAAATTTAACTCCACAAATAGACGGCTCCACTCTAAAGACTCTCTGTATGCAACATGGACCTGTCCAAGATTTTCGCTTGTACCTGAATCATGGAATTGCTCTCACTAAATACTCGACTCGAGATGAGGCTAGAAAAGTAAGTTTATATCATAATTTATATTCATAAATATTTATTAATGGTACTAAAATAAATTAAAAAAAATTAATAAACTATTATTAATTATAATTTTTAATTTTTTTTTAAAGGCTCAAGGAGCTTTAGATAATTGTGTTCTTGGTAATACGACAATATTCGCGGAATCTCCAGCTGACAACGAGGTTCATACACTTTTGCAGCAATTGAGTCATGGTGGTCAACAACAAACAGGCGCATCAAGCGGGACCGGTTGGGGCTTGAGACCATCCAACAAAGCTGGTCCACCACCAGACACATGGGGTGGCAGCTCGAGCCAACTCTGGGGTGCCCCACCCACCAGCAACTCACTTTGGAGCAGCTCTGGACTTGACAGTGGTGATGCTCAAAGAACTACTCCAAGTTCACTTAACTCGTATTTACCCGGAGACTTATTAGGAGGTGAGTCGATGTAGAGAGTGTGACTATCACACGCTCATATACTCGACCTTTGATGTGAATAATACTGAAGCTTACAGTACAGCAAGGATCCAGATAACTACGTTTGAGACTTTAACAACACCAGCTACATTTAATCCCTAATCTTTAACCGGTTCGTTTGACACTTTTTACATGAAATAAATATTCGTCACTTATCGAATCAACTCAACGATAATAATTAGGCATGATCAACTCAATATCTATAAATATATATCTATAATATATATTTATTATATATTATATATGGCAGTGCGGCATCTCTGAGTAATATAATGAGCAAGGTGTCGGCTGGTTATAACAGTCGACAAATATTTTCTCGATACGTCAATTATATATATGATAATGATGCGTTTTTGGAATGAGTGAGTTACTTAAAAAAATATTCTTAGGCCTGTTTTCTCCGGATTCATAAGGTCATTAAGAATAAATGAACAGCCAAACGATCTTACTGCGATAATGAATATTTTAAAAAAAAGTACTAATATTTATATTAAAACATAATTGAAAAAAAAAGTGACACAGCAAATATTTAAATATAGATTTGTTGGCAATCCGATTGACAGCTCGGAGACCATTGAATAGGAAATCAAATTTTTCTTGTACATTCAATTCAACACTTATCAAAGGAAAGTTTTGAACTGAATAATAAAGTTAGCCATTGTGACTTCGATGTTAATGACAGGATATCGATTGGGCATGTTCTTAATTATTACCTCAATTTTTGAAACTACGCACAATCGCTTATGTATATATGTATATTACACAGAGGCGATATTCAAATGATATAAATAATAGAACAAACAAAAATCAATCAATTATAAATGCCGGTCGATGTTCATTGTCGTTATCATTGAATGCAAAGACAAATCCAAGGCCAAAGGTCTCTGATCGTTTCGGGGAGTGTTCCATTTTTGCTGGACAGTTCGAGAAGACTGCAGCGAGTATCAAACTTAGACTGTATCAATCTAATCAAAAAAAAAAAAAAAAAAAATAATAAAAATCTTAAACGAGCATTGACGTCGCTGCCCGCCGTCCTGCTGATGACTAAAAGTATAGGTAGAACGAGGGAATTAAGATTATTAAAGTAAGGAAAAATTAATTAAATTTATAAATAATAATAATAATAATTAATATTCAGGCTGGCCGGGCAACGACACAACGATACCAAATGTTATCGCAATAACGTAAATTTTATTCTATATTAAATCTAAATGCCACCTGTCGTGCCAATGTCCAGTGTTTCTCTGTACCAATTATTAATGTAGAGTTTAAAACAATTGACGAAAAAAAAAAAAAATACAAAAAAAAAAAAATACAAAAAAAGTAAAAAATGAAAAAAAAAATACAAAAAAATAAATAAAATAAAATACTAAACATATTATTATAGTAATAATGATAAATATCGGGTAAGAAAAAATCACATTTTAATTCGAGTCAAGTCGTGGTGGCATTAAATACTGGCCGGTATTATAACGTTATGCCTCCTTGTGATACAAAAATAAATGAAGAAAAAAAAAAATAAAACGCGAGAACGGACGAAACAAGTTGATTTTAAAATTCTTTATCCGACCGTTCGCGACGTGAACAAAAAAAATAATTAATTAAATGTACTAAAAAATAATAATAAGAACAATAATAATTTAAACAATAACAGTAAAATATAATAAAAATAAAAAATTTGGAAAACTTGAACGCACTTTGAAACGACATGGTGTCGTTCATATATTAACTAGTTTTTCCAACGTCGAAGGTACCTGATGGAGTTAAAACCAAACGACGAGCGAGCAAAAAATAATAAAACAACCCAAACTCTTTTTAGCCGCGTCAAAACAATTTAAAAAAAAAAAAAAACTGATTTACTTAGAAAAAAATTAATAAATAAAATATTCCGTGTTGTTAATTAACACGATGAGCTTTTCCGATAAAAATTAAAACAAGATATTGCTTTATGGCAGTCGCAATAAAAAAAAATAGATAAATTAAAGAATAATATGATCATTGAAAAATAGAACAATCTCATTTTGACTCGAAAAGTAATCAATCAGTATAATAATAAGAAAATTAAGTAATAAATAAAATAAAGTTATGTTTGAATTTATAATAAAATATAATATTTGCGCAATAAATAAAAATAGGTAAACAAAAAGTTTAAGATACGGACAAATATGATTAAAATTATGACGCGCGTCTAATCCACAATTTTAAATGACACATATTGAGCTAAAGGAAGATTCGTACTAAAAAACTAAAATATAACTTAAACCTCATAATATAATTCTATAAGTAATTTAACTGTAAGATTAAATAAATAAATTTAGCCGTTCAAATCGTAATAAGGAGAAATAACGATAGATATGACAATGATACACATACGCCAATTTCAATACAACGCCACGACTAAGTTTAAAAAAAAACCTATATGTACATTACATTTAAAAAAAAAAAAAAAAAAAAAAAGAAAAAACGACAGACTTGCACACAAACGATGAAATTTTGTTTTACTTAATTTATAGATCGCGTGGGTGCGTGAATGACGAATGCCAATGTGTTTAAACAAAAATATGCGTATTAATGCTAGGGTCACGGATAATTATAAGTATAAATTAAAGTAACTATTATTAATGGAGAGTTTCACGAATTACCTTTTCATTCCCAGCGGAATATACCAATTTTTATTTTATTATGATTTTTTTTTTCGTCATCATTTATTATATTAATTAAATCGATTAGCGCCCTATTTTATTTTACGAACGTAGATTTAAGCTACTACCTAAGTGTTTTAACGATATATTTAATAATTGAATATATTATATTATAGATATTATAGTTGCCCGGTCAGACCACGAGTGGGATAAAATTAAGAAAATAATATAATTTAATATAATATAATAATATATAATATAATAGGTATAATAAATATTTAAATATAAATATATCAAACTACTCCTCGAAATAAGATAATAATATAAAATTAGTCAGATCAGAAGTTAAATATAATATAAGCCTTTGTGTTTATGTGGCATTTAGCTTCCGGTACTCGTGTCGGTATCCGCGGGGTTGTGTTCGTCAAGTCGTCAAGTATTAGTACTACTTTACGCGAGACTCGTCAGGGTGAATAGCACTAAATTACAGGACAAAAAAAAAATAAGAAAAGTAATTAATAAAATGAATAATCAGAGCCAGGTGAATTTTTAAATTAAAATTAAAAAAAAAATATAAGTATTTACATACCGCGAAATTATGTCGCGTTAATAAAACTATGATATTTATTATTATTAATTGATGGAATCAAAGACGAAATGGTGAAACTTTCTCAGAGTAGTAGAAAGATATTTGTTGTGATAATATTGAATTTAGGCACTTAGGATTTCTTCTATTCTGACGAATCAATCTATACGGTGGTGACGTCGTGTAGAACGATAATAATTATTAATTAATTAATAAATATAATATAATAATAATAATAACAACAACAACAAAAATTAATAGTAATAATAATAATAATAAAAAAAATAATTCAGAGAGATAGATGAGGGAGGGTAAAGGACAGTTAGCCTTTTATACCATCCACACAAAGGCGACACTAATTAAGGTATTAAACACCCACACATACACACTCACATTAAATAAAACAGAAAATAAATAAAAAAATAACAATAAATAAAAGTAATAAAATAATTTAGCCGTACACGCGCTTGTATGCGCACGTAGTCCCCTGATCAACACATGTACACGTATAAAGTATAATTTTAATACTGAAATAGGATTCAAAATAAATAAATAAGTATAAAAATACTACGATTTTTAATATTAATATATATTTATGGAGAGCCATTAGCCTATCATACATTATTATTTAACAGTTATCAATAAAAAAAAAAAAATAATAAATAAATGAGTAAAATATAGTGCTTAGTCAGTTAGTAAAGATAACGCTGTTTATCAATGAGTCGTGAGATAACAAATGTATTTGGAGAATTAGGCACACGCTATTTGTAACACCGAGAGCTTATAATAATATCACTCATATAATTATATTCATATTATATACGCGAGTTAATTATTAGCTTACATAATATATAAATATACATTTATGTGTATTAGTATATGTATGTATTGAATCAAAAAATCAAAAGATCTATCGCCACTGTCGCTCTTTCTTTGGAAAATTAAAAACAATAATTATTATTGTAATTATTAATTATTATTATTATAGCTTTTCTTGTGTAAATTTTAAAATACATTGTATTATAGCAGTGTATTTTATGCGAGTGCATCAAAAAATACGTCGCGCACAACCTTTGCTGCTCGTCCACTACTTTTTAAGGATCAATGTCTTTCCTATTATTATTATTAATTATTATTACTATTATCATCATCATTATTATTAATATTAAATATTATTATTATAATATCGCTTGCTCTCTCTGTCTATCTCTCTTTTTTTCTTAAATAACGTCTTTTTAAATGATAAATAATGATAATTAAAAGAAAAAAAAAATGAATAAAAATATTTAATTAAAATAATAAAATAAAATTAACGTGCCTATCTCCCTGGAGCCGCGAAAATTACTCGCCCAACAACGATGCGGATACAATCATGACAATTTATCTGACGCTCGGTAGTGTCTGTAAATAAATAACTTTTTAAAAATAAAAAACAAATAATGTTTTTAATTAATGAGAAAGAGCGACAATTGCGATTATTTTTAGATCCTCGCTGCAAAGTCTCTCGAGTTTGTTTGGCTAGCTTTTATCAATTTTTTTCAAAACCTTTTTGATTTTTTTCTTCAAGTTTTTATCATTATTATTACTATTTTTATTATTATTATTATTGTTATTATTATTAATTATTATCGTTATTTTTTTAAAGTATCTTTGTGTATTATTAATAATAAAATTAATCATGACTAGCTGTTTTTTTATACGTAGCGCGCAAGATCCACGAGAACGACCAACAAAAAATCAGGGACACGACGTGCGTGATCGCGACTTTCTACCAGTGACAAAGTCGGTTTTTTTTTTTATAAATTTTTTTATGTAAAATCAAGGAGAGCTTGTACAACAGCGTCGAGAATGAGGTTTTATCCTTTTTTAAAAACAAAAAACACATTTTGCGTGGGAGAGTAGGTCGTACTCGTCGGATAAGCTTTTTACCGATAAAAGTTTAAAATAATAACATTTAATACATAGGCCCCCACAAAAAGCGATATTTTATAGTATAAATAGATTATTATTATTATTATTAATTATTATTATTATTACTTATTAAGTGGAAAAACACCTGTAATGTGATATTCTCGTGTCTTGTGCGACGTGAGACATTGTTCTGAGATATAATTGGCGTTTGTCTTTGCGCGTAAGTTAGTAAGGGACTATTAATTACAAAAATATATACATAATAATAAAACAAAAATAAAAAAAATAACAAAAAAAAAAAAATAATAATTATTAATAATAAAATAAATAAATCCGGCTGAAGAATCTTCATGTTTGATCGAAAAGAATGAAATAGGATAAGATACTATAATAAATATATATAAATATATTTAAAAAAAACTTATGTTTAAAGAAAAAAAAAACCCCAAAAAAATGTTTGAACGATATGAATCAGTAAGAAGTTCAAAGTTAACATGATTATTGTCGTGGCTCAAATATGAATGTTGCGGTTTTATTAAACGCATTATTTTATTCCCATCTTGATATAAAATATATAAGTATAAATATATATTTTTTTTGTTGTTTATGTTTGATTGTACATTTTAGTTAATATGAATGGGTGTCTTATCATTATTGCATATTATTATATATATATATACATATATATATTTATGTATATCATTATACAGATATATATATTTATATTTTTTGGTGTACCGGGTATTTCTTCCGGCGAAATATCGCCTTTGATAGTCCATAAAAATCTGATTTTATATGCCATTTTAGTTTTTAAGGGTGTTTAGTTTTGCTGTTTTTTTTTTCTGTTTGGTTTTATTAATTATTATTACTATATTATTATCATTATTATTATTATTATTATTATTATTATTATTATTATTATTATTATTTAATGTTACGTTTGTAATTACGCAGTGAAAAGTCAAATCCGTCGTCGTTATCATCGACCTCTTATTATTTTGAAAAAAATATTTTATTTATATACTTGGCACGTTATTCTCGTACTGAAA